GGTCAGTTCTCCTCTCCTCTCCCCTCCCCTCCCCTCCGCCCGTCCCCTCTCCGTCTCTCCCCGCTCCCTCCCCTCCCCTCTTCCTCTCCTCTCGTTTGTTGAGACAGAGGTCTTGCTCTGTCGCCCAGGCTGGGAGGGCCAGTGGCGTGTGACTCGGCTCGCTGCACAGCTGCCGCTTCCCGGGTCACGCCATTTCTCCTGCCTCAGACCCTGAGGTAGCAGGACTACAGGTGCCGCCACCCGCCGGCGGTTTTTTTTTTTTCTTTTTTTTTTTAGCTAGAGTGGTGTTTCACCGTGTTAGCCAGGATGGTCTGGATTTCCGGACCTCATGATCCGCCCGCCTCGGCCTCCCAAAGTGCTGGGATTACAGGCGTGAGACTGGGCCCGGCTGCATTGGTCATTTCAAAGTAACTTTCCTTGTAGGGCGGGAACAAGGAAACAGAACAATAGAAAAACAACGGATTGGGCCAGGCGCAGTGGTTCATGCCTGTAATCCTACCACTTTGGGAGGCTGAGGTGGGCGGATCACCTGAGGTCAGGAGTTCGAGACCAGCCTGGTAAACATGGCGAAACCCCATCTCTACTAAAAATACAAAAAAATTAGCCGGGTGTGTTGGCACACGCCTGTAATCCCAGCTACTCTGGAAACTGAGGCAGGAAAATTGCTTGAACCTGGGAGGTGGAGGTTACAGTGAGCCGAGATGGCACCACTACACCACTGCACTCCAGCCTGGGCGACAGAACGGCGGGAACTCGTCTCAAAAAAAAAAAAAAGAAGAAGAATAACATTGATTAACATCAGGTTACTTTTGTTGTAAGGATTATGGGCAGAGGAAAGTTCATTGTCATGCTTATTGAAAGTGGCCTGTTGGGGAAATATCTGTTCTCTCTCCAGATTTCTCTGACGGTCAGATAATTAAGTTTCAGCTTGGTAAAATGTAACTTTAGCAGGAATTACTCCATTTTGGTTCTTAGTCTTGTTTGTTAGGATCTAGTGCAGGTGCCTTGTCCAAAATAATGGCCTTCTACAATTTTTTAAAATTTCTTTTCTTTTTGAGACAGAGTCTCAAGAGTCTCACTCTGTCACCTATATTGGAGTACAGTTTCGTGATCACAGCTCACTGCAGCCTCAACCTCCCTGGCTCAAGGGATCCTCTCCCACCTCAGCCTCCCAAGTAGCCTCTCAATGTGCGCCACCACACTTCGTTGATTTGCTTGTAGAGACGGGGGTCTCGCCATGTTGCCCAGGCTCATCTGGAAGTCCTGGGCTCAGGTAATCAGTTTACCTTGGCCTTCCAAAGTGCTGGGATTAGAGGCATTAGCCACCATGCCCGGCCTGTAATTTTTCTGTAACACCATATAATCCAGTCATTTCATTCCTAGGTGTTTAAGATAAATGTGTATATAGATTTGTCAGAAAATATCTACTAGGCCAGGAGTAGTGGCTCAAACCTGTAATCTCAGCATTTTGGGAGGCAGAGGCGAGAGGATTGCCTGAGCGCAGGAGTTTGTCACCTGGGCAACATGGTGAGACTCGGTCTCTACAAAAAAATTTAAAAAGTAGCTGGGTGTGGTGGCACATGCCTGTAGTCACAGTTACTTGGGAGGCTGAGGCAGGAGGATTGCTTGAGGCCAGTAGTTGGAGGCTGCAGTGAGCCATGATCATGCCACTGTACTCCACCTTAGGCAATAGGGTGAAACCCTGTTTCTAAAAAAAAAAAAAAAATTAAATTAAAAACCAATCTACTGTATTAAAACTTTAGAAGCCAGGATAGTGATTATCTGGGGGTAGGGAGGGTAGGGCGGTGGGTGGTTGTTGGTGAGTGGGTAGATAGTGACTGAAAGTGGTCAGGAGGGGGCTTCCGGGGTGCTGGTGTATATCATACTATATGTATATCATACTTCTATTAAAAGTTTACCAAAAACGAATTACTTTCGTTACATTTGTGAGACAATCTGAGAAAATGAAACCCAGACTGGGTATTAGACCACATTAAGGAATATTGTGAATTTTCTTAGGTATGTTAATAGCCTTGTATTTTTTATGTATTTTTTGAAGCACTAATCTATTGTGATTAATGCTTAAGTATTCACAGATGAAATAATGTGATGTCTGGAATTTGCTTTAAAATAATTTCCTGGATGGGAAGGGATTGCTTAAACAGGATAAATAAGCAGATGTTGATTATTGTTCAAAACCAGTACATGAGGGTTCATTATACTATTGTCTCCACTTTTGTGAATGTCTGAAATATTATAATAATAATAATAATAATGAGAGGCTTTTCTTTTTTTTTTTTTTTTTTTTTGAGATGGAGTCTCGCTCTGTCGCCCAGGCTGGAGTGCAGTGGCCAGATCTCAGCTCACTGCAAGCTCCGCCTCCCGGGTTTACGCCATTCTCCTGCCTCAGCCTCCCGAGTAGCTGGGACTACAGGCGCCCGCCACCTCGCCCGGCTAGTTTTTTGTATTTTTTAGTAGAGACGGAGTTTCACCGTGTTAGCCAGGATGGTCTCGATCTCCTGATCTCGTGATCCGCCCGTCTCGGCCTCCCAAAGTGCTGAGATTACAGGCTTGAGCCACCGCGCCCGGCCTGAGAGGCTTTTCATCACAGAATTTCAAGGCAGTCGCTTCACCCCTGACTCCCAGTTTCTACCTCAATAAAATAGGGCTGATGATATAATGCACTGTACTCACAGGGATGTTGTGAGCAGCAGGGGGAGAAAAGAGTTTTATGAAATGTTGTGTTTTTGTTTTTGTCTTTGAGACGGAGTCTCACTCGGTCACCCAGGCTCTAGTGCAGTGGCGCGATCTCGGCTCACTGCAGCCTCCACCTCCCGGGTTCAAGCGATTCTCCTGCCTCAGCCTCCTGAGTAGCTGGGATTAGAGGCGCGGGCCACCATGCCCGGCTACTTTTTGTATTTTTGGTAGAGACGGGATTTCACTATGTTGACCAGACTGGTCTCGAATGCCTGACCTCGTAATCTGCCTGCCTCGGCCTACCAAAGTGCTGGGATTACAGGCGTGAGACACTTCGGCCTGCTGAAATGTTTTAATATTGTAACCACTGCCATTATGGTTTCTAGTACTGATTTGTTGCCTCCAAGTGTTTCCTCCTCCTCTCCCTGTATTTTTTTTTTTTTTTCTTAAGACAGAGTATTGCTCTGTCACCCAAGCTGGAGTGCAGTGGCTCTATTTTGGCTCACTGCAACCTCCACCTCATGGGTTCAAGCGATTCTCCTGCCTCAGCCTCCCAAGTAGTTGGGATTACAGGTGGGTGTCACCATGCCCGGCTAATTTTTTTATTTTTAGTAAAGATGGGGTTTCACCATGTTGGCCAGCCTGGTCTCGAACTCCTGGCCTTAAGTGATCCGCCTGCCTCAGCCTCCCAAAGTGCTGGGATGACAGGTGTGAGCCACCACGCTCGGCTTCCCTGTAATTATTCATTCCGCTTTTCCTCTGGTTCTTTTCAATGGTTCCTTCCTGCTACCCCCATCCCCCGGCAGCCCAATGGTTGAGTCCGGTTTCCCCAGGGGAAACCCCTTGGGGCGGATCACGCGGTGTCTGCGAGTGGCCTCCCTGGAGGATACAAGGAACGCTCCGCGCCGGGGGTGGGCCAGTAATCGTAGGCGGGGCGCGGGTCCCGAGCTCCGATTGGCCAGGGCCGGAGTAAACATCCGGCGGGACGGGGCGGGGCCGGAAGTGGAGGTAGAAGGCGGTGGCTGAGGCGGTTCCGGAGGTTCTGGTGTCGGAGTTGGTGCAGGCAGGTGCTATGGGCCGGCTTGAGGCACTCTGAGGGGACGCGGGGCTGGGCCATGGCCGGCGCTCGGGCCGCCGCCGCCACCGCCTCGGCGGGGTCCTCGGCCTCTTCGGGCAACCCGCCGCCACAGGAGCCGGGGCTTGGGGAGCTGCTGGAGGAGTTCTCCCGGACTCAGTACCGGGCCAAGGACGGCAGCGGGACCGGCGGCTCTAAGGTGAGACTGGAGGCGCGATGAGCTGGGGAAGGCCCCTAACTTGGGGAGTTACAGAGGAAAGGCTGAGACCAGGGGTGAGAGAAAGGTAGGAGTGGTACCTCGCCGCTGAGAAAGAGGAGAGAGAGTTCTCCAGGATCTGGAACCAGAGTGTAAGAGTCGGACTTGACAACCATAAAAGGAGGAACTGGGGTCAAAAGGAGCCCAGCAGAGAGGTCCTTTTTGTTTGAGAAGGGGTCTGAAGGTGAGAGATGAAGCTGAGGGGCCAGGTTCAAAGATCAGAGAGGAGGACCTAAGGAAGGCCTATTCCCTACTTCAGGTGCCGTAGGATGAGCTGTGTCAGGGAAAAAGCCCTCGAATCTAAGAAAAATAGGGAGACGATTCCTCAGGGTCAGAGGTCAGAATGGAGCCAGGAGGTGAACCCAGTGTGTTGCCCCCTTATAAGGTCTCAGCATAACTTAGGCCCATCCCTTTTCTTTCCTTATACAGCAAGAAGACAACCCACACTCCCACTCAGTTCCTTCATCAAAAGCAGGTCTCAGTTCCTCTTTTTCCTCCCTTTGGGATTTCCACCCAGTCGTCTTATCGCCAGACCTGGAGGGCTTCCTGTTAGCTCAGGCCATCCCCACCCTAAGCACTGGCTGGCAGTGCGGTGGGAATCTTGCTGACCCTGCCATCTCGTTCCCCCACGTGGTTTTGGCCGCTTTAGCACCAAGTTTTCCAGTGGAACTCTGTTCCATCCTGCACCACAGAACTCAGATTTGGCCCCAGAGGTTACCCTGAGTTGCGATTCTGTAGTTGGCATCTGGTAGTCTCTGAAATAACCCAGGGAAGACTTCAGTAAGGATTGGACTTGCTCACTCTCCAAATGGCCAAGTAATTTTTCCAAGTGTAGTCTGGGGACCACCTGTTTAATTATCATCTGGGGTACTTTTAAAATTTATGCTTGTGGGGTACTTTGTGAAAATAGAGATTCCTTAGTCCCACCCAGTCCTACCAAGTCAGAATTAGCATCCTCCGCCTCCCCAGTTCAAGCAATTCTCCCTGCCTCAACTTCCCAAGTAGCTGGGATTACAGGACCCCACCACCACGCCCAGCTGATTATTGTAGTTTTTAGTAGAGATGGAGTTTCCCCATGTTGGCCGGGCTGGTCTTGAACTCCTGAGCTCAGGTGATCCGCCTACCTCAGCCTCCCAAAGTGCTGGGATTACAGGCGTGAGCCACCGCGCCTGGCCTTTTTTTTTTTTTTTTTGAGACAGGGTCTCGCTCTGCTGCCCAGGCTGGATTGCAGTGGTGCAATCATGGCTCACTGCAGCCTCGAACTGCTGGGCTCGAGTGATCCTCCCACTTAAGCCTGCCAAGTACCCGAGACCACAGGTACACACCACCACGCCTGGCCAGTTTTTTTTTTTTAGATTTTCGTGGAGACATGGTCTCACTATATTGCCCTGGCTGGTTTCAAACTCCTAAACTCAAGCAATTCTCCCACCTCGGCTCCCCAAAGTGCTGGGATTACAGGCCTGAGCTGCCACACCTGGCCAGTGAGGGTCTTTTGGTTTTTCTGGTGATTGGTTTTTTTGGACCCCTCTTTCAATTTACATGACCCTGAAGATTAGGGTTGTCATAAGTTACACCTGATAGTGGCTGAAGCTGGCCTTAATTATCTCTCCAGGCCTTCTGATCTCCTGCAGACTTAGATGTATATGTATTTATAACTGTTCAGGTAGAACAGGGAGTTAGATCTGTAACTGAACAATCGATTGAGGTAACTCACTACCCCTTTGGACTAATCTCTTGCAAACTTCTTCTTTTTTTTTTTTTCCCCCAGACGGAGTCTCTCTCTGGCACCCAGGCTGGAGTCCAGTGGTGCGATCTTGGCTTACTACAACTTCCACCTCCTGGATTCAAGCTATCCTCCTGCTTCAGCCTCCCTAGTAGCTGGGACTACAAGCATGCGCCACCACGCCTAGCTAATTTTTTAAATTTATATATATATATTTTTTTGAGATGGCATCTCCCTCTGTCGCCCAGGCTGGAGTGCAATGGCATGATCTTGGCTCACTACAACCTCCGCCTCCCGGGTTCAAGTGATTCTCCTGCTTTAGCCTCCCAAGTAGCTGGGACTACAGGTGCCCGCCACCATGCCCAGCTAATTTTTATATTTTTAATAGAGGCAGGGTTTCACCATGTTGGCCAGGATGGTCTCGATCTCTTTCTTGACCTCGTGATCCGCCCGCCTCAGCCTCCCAAAGTGCTGGGATTAGAGGCATGAGCCACCGCGCCTGGCCGGTGTTACAGTTCCTATGTCTTTTTTCCTGTTGTGTTTTTCCCTGAACTGTGAACAAAACAAGTAATTGTAGGGGGAGCTCTTCTATTTCACAAGCGAGTTGTGTATAAGGAAACTTTACAGCTTTTACTGATTGTATGGAATAGAGCTTGTAGGTACTAGTCTATAGCTAAAGAATGGGGAAGAGGGCCAGTACAGTGGCTCACGCCTGTAATCCTAGCACTTTGGTAGGCCGAGGCAGGTAGATTGCTTCAGCCCAGGAGTTCAAGAGCAGCCTGGAAACATGGACCCCCATCGTTATTAAAAAATTTTTGTTGGCTGGGTGTGGTGGCTCACGCCTGTAATCCCAGCACTTTTGGCAGGCGGATCATGAGGTCAGGAGTTAGAGACCAGCCTGGCCAGCATGGTGAAACCCTATCTCTCCTAAAAATACAAAAAATTAGCTGGTCATGGTGGCACCGCCCACACCTGTAATCCCAGCTACTCGGAAGGCTGAGGCAGGAGAATTGCTTGAACCCGGGAGGCAGAGGTTGCAGTGAGTGGAGACCATTGCAGTCCAGCCTGGCGACAGAGCAAGACTCTTTCTCAAAAAAAAAAAAAAAAAAAAAAAGGGAAGAGGCCAGGTGCAGTGGCTCACACCTGGGAGGCTGAGGTAGGCGGATCACTTGAGATCAGGAGTTCAACACCAGCCTGGCCAACATGGTGAAACCCCATCTCTACTAAAAATATGAAAATTAGCCAAATGTGCTCACTTGAAACCCAGGCGGCTGAGGTTGCAGTGAACTGAGATCGTGCCACTGCACTCCAGCCTGGACGACAGAGTGAGACTCTGTCTTTTAAAAAAATAAAGGCCGGGTGCGTTGGCTCACGCCTGTAATCCCAGCACTTTGGGAGGCCAAGGTGGGTGGGTCATCTGAGGTCAGGAGTTTGAAACCAGCCTGGCCAACATGGTGAAACCCCCGTCTCTACTAAAAATAGAAAAATTAACCAGGCGTGGTTCTGTGCACCTGTAATCCCAGCTACTCGAGGTGAGACAGGAGAATCACTTGAACCCAGGATGCAGAGGCTGCAGTGAGCTGAGATTGCACCACTGCACTCCAGCCTGGGCAACAGAGCGAGACTCCATCTCAAAAAAAATAAAAATAAAAATAAATAAATAAATAAAAGAATAGGAAGCTAACCAAGGAAGGTAGTGGATTAGTGGCAGTTTCAGTAACCTGGACCAAGAGTTCGTATGTTTTATGGGTTGTAGACTTCTTTGAATCTAATGAAAGATGTAATCCTCTCCTCCAAATGCTCAACACCCACAATTTCGGATTCATTGTTAGGGAATTAAGAATCCTTCCTGAAGCATACAATATATGGGTTAATGAACTACATATGGGGCCTGTGGCCTAGCATCACATCTTCCCAGCACAGAATAATTATCACTGAGGTACATGTCTTTCCCAGTGACCTCTCAGGCCATGGACCTCCTAATTCTCACCCTCAGAACCCCATAATTCTCTTTGTGTTCTGGTCTCCTTCTCTGTGCAGGTTGAACGCATTGAGAAGAGATGTCTGGAGCTGTTTGGCCGAGACTACTGTTTCAGCGTGATTCCAAACACGAACGGGGATATCTGCGGCCACTATCCCCGGCACATCGTGTTCCTGGAGTATGAGAGTTCTGAGAAGGAGAAAGACACGTGAGCATCATGTGACCATAGTGTGCATGTCTGGGGAGTCCGTGGCAGCTAATCCGTGTGGCTAGGAAGTCGGTAGCTGGGCAGGGCAGACTCACTTTCCCCAGGTGTTAAGCCTCATTGGCATTTTTATTTACTTCAAGGTTGGACGAGTCAGACTGACAAGGTGGCATGGCATAGAATGAGGGGTTGGGAGTAACAGCCCTTGATTTCTGTTTCACTTCCACCCTAGAGCTCATTGTCCTAAGACAGTTGACTTCACACTTCACTTCTCTGAATATCAGTGTCCCTTTTTTAGAGAGTGTGGGTGGGAGGTACACTGTCAAGACAGGCTCACCCGCGTTTACCATATGTAGCACTTAGGACCCTGAGGTCTAGAATCAGACTGCTTGAGTTCACATCCTGGATTCCCCTTTTGCTGGCTATGCTTCTGATGCTGGGCAAGGTATTTAACTCCTTTGTCCTTAGTTTTCTTATTGGTAATTCTCTACCTCATGTTAATTAGTCCTTTTAAGGACTAACTAAAATTTTAGAAAAGTGGTAGTGCAGTCCAGAGGATAAATAGGGCTGATAAAGCCTGACATGTACGTTGTAAGAATTAGAAATAAAAGCTACCATTTATGGTGAACCTACCAAGAGCTGAGTACCTTATGTGGGATAACAATTTGTACCAGAGCAGACACAGAATGCTTGGTGCAGGATGTGGACTGTAGTTAGTCAGTAAATGGTGTAGTTATTTGATATTGATAAGTACTCAGAGCATGGGGCTCTAGGAAGTGCTATATGTTGATCTCAAAGTTTGTTCCCCTAATCTCCCTACTTCCTGCTGAATTTAAGGGAATTTCAGGAGCTGTTGTCAGCACTATCTGTGAAATCCTGGCCCCGTGGGTGAAATGTTGTGAGGAGTACTGCAGCAGTCATGCTGCATAGTGCAATAGCCCCTTGCTACTCAAAGCAGGACTAGCAGTGCACTCAATAACTTGTTAGAAACACAGAAGCTCAGGCTCCAGAGCCATTGAGCCGGAATCTCAGCAGAACATGATGTCCAGGTGATTCGAATGCACTACCAGGTTTGAGAAGCGCTGCCATAGGCCAACTGGGGAGAATGGTTAATTCTGCCTGGTGTTTGTGTGCCTGGGAAGAACTGGAATTGGAAGGGTGAGCAGGAATTTCCCTGAAAATGTCCTTAGGGATCAACTCATATAGGGGTCCTGATCATCAGGCCAGGGAGTGTGAACCTGTGGGTTGTGTGTGGGTGTCAGTGGTTTTACTGTGCTGGGAACCCCTGAGCACTTATTAAGATTATAGATTCTCGGCCTGGCCTAGTGGCTCATGCCTGTAATCCCAGCCTCCTTTGGGCGGATCACCTGAGGTCAGGAGTTTGAGACCAGCCTGGCCAACATGGTGAAACCCCGTCTCTACTAAATATACAAAAGTTAACTGGGTGTGGTGGCACATGCCAGTAGCTACTCAGGAGGCTAACACAGGAGAATCGCTTGAACCCGGGGGGTGGAGGTTGCAGTGAGCCGAGATTGCACCACTGCACTCCAGCCTGGGCAACAGAGCAAGAGCAAGACTCCATCTCAAAAAAAAGATTACAGATTCTAGAGCTTCTCCTGGGCCTTCTGGAATCAGAATTTCCAGCCTACATTCTGTGAGAGCTCCCTTGATGTCTTAAATTACAGTACAGCTTGAGAACCGCTGCTGCAGGCCATGGGGAGCCAGAGAAGGTTTACAGCAGAGGAACAATGCTTTAGGAATTTAAGCACTAATGCTTTAGGAGTTTAAGCCTTAGTTTCCTCATCTGTAAAGTGGGGATGTCTATAAGAGTGCCCATCTCGGCCGGGCATGGTGGCTCACACCTGTAATCCCAGCACTTTGGGAGGCCAAGGTGGGCATATCATGAGGTCAGGAGATTGAGACCATCCTGGCCAACATGGTGAAACCCCGTCTCTACTAAATATACAAAAGTTAGCTGGGTATGGTGGCACACGCCTGTAATCCCAGCTACTCAGGAGGCTGAGACAGGAGAATCACTTGAACCCAGGAAGCGGATATTGCGGTGAGCCAAGATCGCACTACTGCACTCCAGCCTGGCGACTGAGCGAGACTCCGTCTCAAGAAAATAAAAAAAAAGAGTGCCCATTTCACAAGGTTGTAGTGGGGTTCTCTGAGAAAAGAATGTTAAGGACTCTTGTAAACAGATCACAGAAATTGTATCACATTCTCAGTCATATAACCTAAGAACTCAGGATCGCCAAGCCTAAAGAATTGGGGTTTGTTTTGGCCCCATTATTTATGGTTCTTAGCTCTAACTTAATTCCTCCTTCCAGAATTAGGTAAACTTCGTTTCTTCTTTTTTTTTTTTTTTTTAAGGCAGAATCTTGCTCAGTTGCCCAGGCTGGAGTGCAGTGGTGTGATCTTGGCTCACTGCAACCTCCACCTCCTGGGTTCAAGGGATTCTTGTGCATCAGCCTCCCAAGTAGCTGAAATTACAGGTGCGTGGCACCATGCCTGGCTAATTTTTGTATCTTAGTAGAGATGGGTTTTGCCATAATGGCCAGGCTAGTCTCAACTCCTGGGCTCAAACAATCCGCCTGCCATGGCCTCCCAAAGTGCTGGATTACAGGTGTGAGCCACTGCGCCCGGCCCTGTAAACTTAGTTTCCATAAACCTTTAAGCTAAAGTTTCTGAACAAGAGGGTTTTGTTTTGTTTTGTTTGTTTTTGCCTTGCCGTCCTCTTCCATCCCCTTCTTCCTACCCTCTTTGGTGCTGGCTGGCTGGTGGTTTTACCTCTGTGCCCTGATGATGACATTCTGATATTAAGCTCAACTGTAATCAAGATGGGTTTTTTTGTTTTTGTTTTTAATTAAGATGGGGTCTGGAATGCAGTGGCACAATCATGGCTTGCTGCAGCCTTGATCACCTGGGCTCAAGTGATTCTCCCACCTCAGCCTTCCAAGTAGCTGGGAATATGGGCACATACCACCCCTCCCAGCGGATTTTTAAAAATTTTTAGTAGAGACGAGGTCTCACTACATTGCCCAGGTGGGTCTCCTGAGCTCAACAGATTTCCTCACCTTGGCCTTTCAAAGTGTTGGGATTAGAGGTATGTGCCACCACACCCAACAGAGTGGTTCTTTTCTATGTTCCTTTTATGAGTGAATCAACTGGGGATCTTTCTACAGTGCAGAGATTCAGTAGACCTGAGGTGGGCCTGACATTCGGCATATTCTAACAAGCTCTCAGGTAATACCAAATGTTACCCTTCAGTAACATAATAGTACATTGAGGAACCTAGTCGTGGTTGCCTAGTAGAAGCTTTTCCTGGAAGGAAACAAGTTTAGTGTTGATCCCTTAAAGAGAAAGAAACTAATATTTATTGAGTACCTGCTGTTTGGCAGGTATTGAGGTTTTACATAGATGAAGTTGAAGCCCAGAGAAGTAATTTGCCTTTTCCCAAGATCACAGAGGTAGTAAGCAGAGTGGGGTTAAAAGCTATGTTTCCTGACTCTATACCTGTCTGCCTTTTCTTTCACCACCACGGCTCTCCCACCTTGTCTAGCAGAACCTCACAGTCAGGCCAAGGCCCCGATGGAACATCATTAACCTTAGAGGAGCTTGTTGGAGTTTGCTTTTACTTTGCACTCCTTGCAAGGCCTTAAAGTGTTACTGAAGTGATATTGAGTGGGTGATGCCTACTTGTTGAAAGGGGGGACTTCGGGTGTGTTTGGGTGGGAAGAAATAGAATTTTTTGCTTTTTTACTGTCTGGCTTGGCTGTTACTATGATGCTGAATTAAACTGAATAGACTGAATAAAAAATAGACTGAATTAAACAGGGTAGAATTGGATTTAAGCAATGTTTTGGTCCTGTTAAGGAACCTCTCCAATTTGGTTCATCATCTGGGAATAGAAGCCTGGACAGGGATCCCTGAATAGCCAAGACATGTTTGTCAACAGTGTTCATTCAGCTGCTGCTGTGTAGTAGACCTCAGGGATCAAGTTGGACGCCAAATAGATGAAGTCCTTACCAGTAGGTCTAGTGGGAAACAGAGTCCAATAAAGAAACAATAACTGTTAATAAGAGCTGGAATTAGGGGAACTACAGGTGAGGCCCTGTGGGATAGTGGTTAAAACCATGGGCCCAGTGGCTACCCACCAGGGTTTAGAATCTCAGCTACCCTGTTTACCTGTTCTGTGACTTTGGGCTAGAGATTTCATCTCATTAAACTACCTCATCTGTAAAATTGGGTAAGTGAGGACTGAGTGAGATAATGTGGGTGTAAGCTCTACTTTGTGCCTCTTATCTTTTAAATAATATCAGCAGTAACATCTCAGAAAGTTTTGGGGCACATCATAGGAATAACCCACATAGTTTGGTAAGTGTGATGCCTGTCTGGGAAAGCTTCCTATTGGAAATAGGTGATAACAGCATTTTCTTCTGTATTTGACTGGGCATGGTAGCTCTTGCCTATAATCCTAGTTACTTGGAGGCCAAGATGGGCATTTCACTTGAGCCCAGGAGTTTGAGACTGAATTAAACTGAATAGACTGAATAAAAAATAGACTGAGTTAAACGGTCTGGGCAACATGATGAGACCTTGTCACTACGAAAAATACAAAGCATTAACCAAGTGTCATGCCATGTGCCTGAAGTCCCAGCTCCCTGGGAGCCTAAGGTGGGAGGATCACCTGAGCCCAGGAGGTCAGCTGCAGTGAACCATGGCGCCACTGCAGTACAGCCTGGGCAACAGAGGAAGACCTTGTTGGGAAAAAAAAAAACCAAAATCTAACTACCTGGTAACATCTTGCCAGAAATTTCAGTGCATACATTACAAATGTAAATACGGAAGCCTACATTTATCCCTTCAAATGTGAGTATTATGTGCCAGACACAGCTCAGTGCTTAGCACTGCAGTAAAAGAATCCTAAGGACAAGAGATAGTAAAAATAAAAACAGGAACTAGTGAGAGAACAGAAACTGAATTGCTTCTTTATTTTATTTTTTTTTTTACAACGGAGTCTCATTCTGTTGCCCAGGCTGGAGTGCAGTGGCGCAATCTGGTCCCTGCAACCTCTGCCTCCTGGGTTCAAGCAGTTTTCCTGCCTCAACCTCCCGAGTAGCTGGGATTACAGGTGCGTGCCACCACGCCTGGCTAATTTTTGTAGTTTTAGTGTAGACGGGGTTTCACCATGTTGACCAGACTGGTCTTTACCTCCTGACCTCAGGCAATCTGCCACCTGAGCCTCCTCAAGTGTTGGGATTACAGGCATGAGCCACTCTGCCTGACCAGAAACTGAATTGGCACTTGATATAGGGGAACCGGTAAAGGAACCACTGGCCGGCCTAACAAGAAAAGCTGGGTCATTACATTAAAAGACCTCCCTAGAGGAAACTGCTGATGTGTCCCCCACCAGGGGTTTTTTGTTTGTTTGTTTTTAACAGAAGTTTAGCCTGAGAAATGCAGCTTGGTTTTGAGGATAGAACTCAACCTGGGAAAATCAGATGTAGGCAGGATTCAGAGGGCTGGTATGAGCTGAGTGAGAGTCAGTTGCAACATATGCTGCTGACCAGATCTGTGACATTGGCCATGGGCCAAGTAAGTGGGAGGAAGGCCACTGTGGCAGTACTAAAGGCGCTCGGTTTTATGTTCTCGTGGAGTCTAGTTAGGCAATTAATTGGTACTGAGGTGCCTTTTGATTTCATAGAGAAACTGGGTGAGGGGAAGGCAGCACACTCTGGTTCTCTGTCAGCTTGTGTGCCTAGGCCTGCCTGGTGGGTTATTGCCACCCTATGGGCACTTTGCTTTCTTTCTTTTTTTTTTTTCCCCAGACGGAGTCTTGCCCTTCGCCTAGGCTGGAGTGCAGTGGCACTATCTTGGCTCACTGCAAACTCAGACTCCTGGGTTCAAGCAAAAATTCTCCTGCCTCAGCCTCCTGAGTAGCTGGGATTACAGGCATGTGCCACCATGCCCGGCTAATTTTTTGTAACTTTAGTAGAGATGGGGTTTCACCATGTTGGCCAGGCTGGTCTTGAACTCCTGACCTCATGATCCACCTGCCTTGGCCTCCCAAAGTGCTGGGATTACAGGCGTGAGCCACCACACCTGTGGGCACTTCTTTGCAAAGGTACCCCAGCCTCTTCAAGTTTGCCATTCTTCCTCCTCCTTTGAACAGAGAAAAAAATTTAATTACAAAAATTATGTCTTACAGGAAAAGACACCATGGGAAGCTCAGTCCTCTTTTTATACCCCTTTGTTCTCTTTCCAAGGTCATCAAACTATTCATTCTGGTTTTTATTTGAAGACTGCTTTTTAACTTCATTTTCAGACCCCCATTTGATAGTAGTTATATTGTCAAGCCACAATCACCTATATATATATCTTCTATATATATATATCCTGTTATCCTATATATATCTGCTATATATATATATCCTATATATATCTCCTATATATATATATATATATATATATTTTTTTTTTTTTTTTGGAGATGGAGTCTCGTTCTGTCACCCAGGCTGAATTATAGTGGTGCAATCTCGGCTCACTGCAACCTCCACCTCCTGGATTCAAGCAATTCTCCTGCCTTAGCCTCCCATGTAGCTGGGATTACAGGTGCCTGACACCACACCCGGCTAATTTTTTTGTATTTTTAGTAGAGATGGGGTTTCACCATGTTGGCCAGGCTGGTTTTGAACCCCTGACCTCAAGTGATCTGCCCGACTTGGCCTCCCAAAGCACTAGGATTACAGGTGTAAGCCACCATGCCTGGCCCCTAGATATATTTTAAGTAAGAATTCGGCAGTATTTTAAAGACTTTGAGTTTTTATTAACCCTAACAGCATCCAGATACATTTAGAGAGGTACTGCAAGTATGTGGGAGTCACTGATTTATTCCTTCTGAGATAATATTTGGGTGCATGTGTACAAGAGAAGCTGTGTAATAACATGCAGATTCCTAGAAGGATTAGGATGTGAAAGGAATTAAATTCCCTCTAGGAGTTGGTCTGAAAGCTCAACCCTTTTAAGGAAGGAACATGAGTGTCTTTCCTTCCTTCTGCTGGGTTTCTCTGCATAGCTGGGAAAGCTTCCTGCTCTAACTTTCCTGCCTCTTATTTCTCTTGCTACCAGAAGCTCTGACTGGCTGATGTGAGCTTTGCCAAAGGTTGGTAGGTGAGAGTGAACCCTTATTTTAGGGAAGTGTGATTTGATATGGGTGTGACTTGCTGGAGCTCACTTCTAAACCTGACTCATGTTCTAGAAGCTCACTTACCAAGCCCAGTGCGTTAACTACTACACATCCCTGTGTCACACCTGGCTTCTCTTATGCCTCCTTTGCTCTGTGTGCTGTTGGCCATATGGACTGTGAAAGCAGAGGCCTAGAGCCATGTGGACCAAGAAACGTTATCTCATTCTGCCCTCTAAAACAGCACTCCCCAACCTTTTTGACACCAGGGACTGGTTTCGTGGAAAACAATTTTTTCACGGCAGGCGGGGGAAAATGATTTCAGATGAAACTATTCCACCTCAGATCATGAGGCATTAGATTCTCTGCAACCTGAATCCCTCACATGAGGAGTTCACAGTAGGGTTCGAGCTCCTATGAGAATGTAATGCCACCGCTGATGATCTGACAGGAGGTGGAAGTCAGACGGTAATGCTCACTTGCACCCTGCTCACCTCCTGGTTCCTAATGGGGCATGGACTCGTACTGGTCTGGGGCCCAGGGCTTGGGGACTGCTTGCTCTAAAAGATCACAAAAATCTATATTTAGAGTTATGTAAAAAATAGATAAATACTCAAAAAAATAGTCCTGTGATTTCCAGAGAGGGTCCCCAGGGCATCAGGTCTTATCCTGGGAGTTAAAAATTGGAAAACCCAGACCTAAGATCCAGTTTTCTGTGTATATTTTTGAATTTTGTGTATGTCTTCAGTTTAGCTCACCTTTTTTTTTTTTGTAATCTTAAAGGTTCAGAAATCAGAGTGATTTAAGTTTTAATACCTATAATTAGCACTTTTTTCTTTTCCTGAAAAACTTAATATATCTCATGCCTGTAATCCCAGCAGTTTGGGAGGCCGAAGTGGGCGGATCGCCTGAGGTCAGGAGTTTGAGACCAGCCTGGCCAACATGGTGAAACCCTGTCTCTACCAAAAATAAAAAATTACCCAGGTGTGGTGGCTCACACCTGTAGTCACAGCTACTCGGGAGGCTGAGGCAGGAGAATCACTTGAACCCGGGAGGTGGAGGTCGTGGTGAGCCAAGATTGTGCCACTGCACTCCAGCCTGGGCAACAGCAGTGAAACTCTGTCTCAAAAAAATAAATAGATAGATAGATAGATAGATAGATAGATAGATAGATAGATGATGGATGGATGGATGGATGGATGGACGAACGGACGATAGATGATATAAAATTTCGGAATGACATTTAATTTCAAGCAAGCATTATATACACAGATCTGGTATGGGGGGTCTGTGTGAATAAACAAATATACACAAAGTTCCCACTTCAAAGTCAGCTTGACCTGCTTCTCTTGCCTGTGTGTTAGGTTTGAGAGTACCGTACAGGTGAGCAAGTTGCAAGACCTCATCCACCGCAGCAAGATGGCCCGGTGCAGAGGACGGTTTGTCTGCCCAGTAATCCTGTTCAAGGGCAAGGTAAGGCCCATACCATAGCTTCATGTTCCAAGATTCTCTTCTGGAGTAGCTGACTTAATGCAAAGTATAGGGTCTTTTTTTCCCTCAACATTTAGTAGCCAAGCATTGGGTGATTACTGGGTGCCTGGTGTTGTGGGAAGCAGTCCAGAGAAACAGACCAATTCTGACTGAAGGATGGTTCTAGGTAGGGAAGGGATGGTCACACCAGCGTACCCCACCCCATGTTCTAGAGCCAGACTGCCTGGATTCAGATCCTGACTCTTATTTCCTGCCTATGCAAAGCCTCCTTTTCCTCTCCTATAAAATGAGAATAATAATCACCTATTTCAAAGGTTTATGGATTAGATTAAATCAAATGAGTTCATATATATTGTTTGTAATATATAATTCACCAAGTATTTATTGTATGTTGTGTGCCATACATTGCTTCAGGCCTTAAAATACATCATGTAAAGCAGACAAAAGTCTTTATTCTCATGGAGCTTATATTCTAAGGACTTTTGTTAATTTGGCTCCCCAGTATGGTTTCATTTTACTTATCTTTCGGTGTAAGGGATGTGCCCATTTCATTGCAGATGAAACAAAGGCTCAGAGTGACTAAGTAACTTCCCTAAGTACAGGGTACACATCAGGGCAGAGGATGAAGGGAATTGAATGAGGAAGGCTGCAGGCTGAGCAGGGAGGGGGCTCTGTGTTTGCTCGGAGAGCCATTGTGATGTTTGAGCAGGGAAATACTGAATGCAAGTAGCAACTGGGGGAAAATTTGTCCAGGAGGAGTGGACTGACATACAGAGAGCCTCAGAGTGGAAGGGAGCGGAATTCAGTCTGTTCATTTAGCCGGTATGTGAGTGCCTCAGTGGTCAAGGGCAGGGCAGTGGGGAGAGTCTTGACTGTTGTCTCAGTCCCTGCTATGCCTTTTTTGTAAATTGGGAAAGGGGAGGAAGGAAGGGAGACTCTGCCAAAGGCTTTCTTTGGCAGATCAGTTTTCAGAAGTATGTATGGAAGTTAGGCGCTAGAAATTGATCTTCTTAAAGCTGTTGCCACTTTGGAAAATTTTCATGTTCCCGAAAGTTATTGGAGCTTTTTTTTTTTTTTGAGATGGAGTCTCTCTCTGTTGCCAGACTGGAGTGCAGTGGCCCAAACTTGGCTCACTGCAACCTCCACCTCCCAGGTTCAAGCAGTTCTCCTGCCTCAGCCTCCCGAGTAGCTGGAATTACAGGAGTGTGCCACCACACCCAGCTAATTTTTGTATTTTTAGTAGAGACGGGGTTTCGCCATGTTGGCCAGGCTGCTCTTGAACTGCTGATCTCAGGTAATCCGCCCGCCTTGGCCTCCCAAAGTGCTAGAACTACAGGCGTGAGCCACCACGCCTGGCCTGCAGCTTCATTTTAAAAAGTACCACCCTGTACAGCACAGTGCTCGTCATTAGAAGTTGCACAGGAGATACTCCAACCAGTGTTTACCAGTGTTTCTATAGAACAGCAGTTTAAGGATATGCTTGTGAAAAGCATTCCCTGTCAAATAAGAATTAGAAATACTGCATACTAGATTCATAAAGTAGATTGTTAAATGTATGTTGATATAGTTAAATGACCCGGCCAAGGTCATTATGTTAAGTGAAATAAGCCAGGCACAAAAAGACAAACTTCACATGTTCTCACTTACTTGAAAGCTAAAAAAATTAACACAATTGAACTCATGAAGATAGAGAGTAGAATTATGGTTACCAGAGACTGGGAAAGGGTACTGGCAGGGACACGGAGGAAGAGTGGGGATGGTTAATGCGTGCAAAAATATAGTTAGAATGAATAAGATCTAGTATTTGATAACACAAAAGGGTGACTACAATCAACAATAATTTATTGCACATTTAAAAATAAAAGTATAGGCCGGGCGCAGTGGCTCAAGCCTGTAATCCCAGCACTTTGGGAGGCCGAGGCGGGCGGATCACAAGGTCAGGAGATCGAGACCATCCTGGCTAACACGGTGAAACCCTGTCTCTACTAAAAAATACAAAAAACTAGCCGGGCGAGGTGGCGGGCGCCTGTAGTCCCAGCTACTCAGGAGGCTGAGGCAGGAGAATGGCGTAAACCCAGGAGGCGGAGCTTGCAGTGAGCCGAGATCGCGCCACTGCACTCCAGCCTGGGGGACAGAGCAAGACTCCGCCTCAAAAAAAAAAATAAATAAGTAAAATAAGAGTATAATTGGATTGTGTGTAACATAGAGGATAAATTCTTGAGGTGATGGAACCCCATTTACACCGATGTGATTGTTATGCATGGTATGCCTGTATCAAAATATCAGCCGGGCGCGGTGGCCCACGCCTGTAATCCCAGCACTTTGGGAGGCTGAGTTAGGCAGATCATGAGGTCAGGAGTTCGAGACCAGCCTGGCCAACATAGTGAAACCCCATCTCTAATAAAAATACAAAAAATTAGCCAGGTGTGGTGGCGGGCGCCTGTAGTCCCAGCTACTCCGGAGGCTGAGGCAGGAGAATTGCTTGAACCCGGGAGGCAGAAATTGCAGTGAGCCAAGATCATGCCATTGTACTCCAGCCTGGGTGACAGTGCCAGACTCTGTCTCAAAACAAAAAGAAAATCTCATGTACCCCATAAATAAATAAATGTACCCACAAATATTTTTAAAACTTAAGTACTTCCAGCAGAAACAGAAAATCAAATACCGCATGTTCTCATTCATAAGTGGGAGCTAAACAACAGGTACACATGGTCGTAAAGGTGGAAACAATAGACACCGGGGACTCCGAAAAGGGGAGACAGGAGGAGGAGGAGGCAAGGGTTGAAGAATACCTATTGGGTACTATGTTCACCATTTGGGTGATGAGTTAAATAGAAGCCTAAACCCCAGCATTACACAATATATCCATGTAACAAACTTGGACGTGTACCCCTGAATCTAACGTGTAAGAAAAAAGAAATGCTTGTGTTCTGCTTCCTTCAAAACGCAGTTCAGCGCAGCTAGTGCAACTGAGAAACTAAGGGTTATATTTTACTTCATTTCAATTTAATTTTTAAGGCTTGAAGCAGTATAAAAGTTTGTCATTGTTAAAAATAACTTTGAAATGGGCCCACATTTCCCTTAAAATGTCCAAAGTTTTTTTTGTTGTTTTTTTTTTTGTTTTTTTTTGAGACAGTCTCTGTTGCCCAAGCTGGAGTGATGCCATCTGCCTCCCAGGCTCTAGCGATTCTTGTGCCTCAGCCTCCCAAGTAGCTGGAATTACAGGCACATGCCTCCACACCTGGCTAATTTTTGTCTTTTTAGTAGAGACTGAGTTTCACCATGTTGGCCAGGCTGGTCTCAGACTCCTGGCTTCAAGTGATCTGCCCACTCTGGCCAAAGTGCTGGGATTACAGGCATGAGCCACCACACCTGGCCAATGGCCAGAGTTTCACATCCTACTTAAGATATGCTTTAAGTGTAAAATACACATCAAATTTTGAAGATTTAATAGAAAAATGTAAAATATTCATTTTAAAAGTGATTACATGTTGACATGTCTTGGATATGATGGGTTAAGTAAAATATTTAAATAATTTTTCAAAATTCAGTTCAAGCATTGAGCGGTAAGTTCTCATACCATTTTCTCCCCAAACACTTGTGTCTGGCTTTGTTAGACCACTGAAACTGGAACAATTCATCTTTCTTTTTGTTTAAGAGGTGGGGAGCAGAGGTCAGAGGTTACTAAATTAGCAAATCATCCAGAGTACTTTTCCACAGACAGAATTAGAGGCCATTCCTAACTAGGTAAATGGATAGCATTCAGGGTAGATCTTGCGTTTTCAGTCAGGAGCCAGCTTAAAGGGCAGAGATGATGGGTTATAAGTCACAATCATGAGGCAGGTGTCTATCAGGAGGAGTCAGCCCTCCCCCAGGGGCCTTCCTGAAGAGGCTGGTGCCCCACTTGGGGACTTGGCCAACTTGTCCTTCTCCATCTGACTCTGGGGTTTTGCTGGCCTAGGTCTGGCTGCCTCAGTTACTAAAAAGACAAGATCAATAGAAGGGATGTGGAAGAAGAATTGGGAACAGAAAAAGGGTCTCTACTCAACAGCCAAAAAGAAGGCAGCTATCTTCACTGAAAGATTTAACAGAAATAATGCAAAGGAGAGTGAGGTCAGCTGCCAGCAGCTTAGGTGAAGTGGGGAGGGTGGACATTATACAAATGCCAGTGGAACAGGCAGCCACACACCCTGCCAACGTCTTGAGGAAATCAGACTTACCCCTTTTCTTTGGAGTCTTAGAGGTCCTCAGCCCTTTCCTGCAGAAGCATCCACTTTGCGCCTCACTACTTGACTGATTCCTTAAAGCAAGGGCTTTTAACAGGGTCTGGAGATGGGTTCATCAGTGGGCTTGAGAGAGTCCAGAAATCCCTGGAAATGTAAGTAGATTATGATGTGTATATATATATATTTTTTTTCAGGAGATAGTTGATAGTTTTTATCAGATTTTCAAATTGCTTTTAGACCCACAGAAATTTAAGTGGCCCCCACTGGAGTACATCCTACTTAGGCCAGCAGGAATGCCAGCCCTTGATAGGCTTCCTCAGTGGGTTTCCAGGATAACCTCTCCACAAACCAGCTCTTGCCCCAGCACCAGTAAAGCCCCTCACTCTGTCCCAGGTAGCTTTTCTATTGCTGTCCCCACCCGTAGGCTGCTGCTACCTCAGGGAGAGCCAGAAAGTGACCTAGTTGTTCCCATGCACAACTCTTTGCTGTAGCAACAAAACTTTCCTTCCCATTATGTCACAGGTAGAGAAGAAGCCTTCAGATGGTACTTGGCAATCTTCCAGGGATCCGCTTTCCATTTGCACATTGTGTGACCCGTTTAGCAGTGAGCTTCACTCCTTGTCTGTCACCTCACAACTTCCCCATTGCAGTGTAACAGGGCCATGTTCTCCTAGCCTTTAGCTAAATTCTGGGCTGATTTGCCTTCCCATCACCAGGTATCTCCTCCCATTCCCCCCACCCTACCACATTTCAGCAAACACTATTTATTTAAACAAGTAACCTTACAATTAGATATTGAAGTTTGTGCCAGTTGCCTGGTTTCTAGAATTCTCTTACAGTGATCCCTTCAGTGATGAGGAAAAGAAAGCTCTAAAACATTTCTCACCCAGCCCCACTAGAAAGGTTGTTCCCCTCTACACTGAACAGTTCCAAGTCACAGTAAGCACATAGGCTTTAGGGGTCAGTGGGTTTGGATCAAATCCTAGCTTACCTCTCGTTATATGACCTTACATATCACTTAACCTCCTTTAGCCTGTTTTTCTTTTCTTCATCTGTGTAACAGCAACAATACATGCCACCTGCCACATCTCCCTCATGGGCTTGTTGTGAAAATTCAGTGAGAAGATGGCGCGTTTTTCAGTACCATGTCCAGCACGTGGTACACATGCAACAACCACCCAATCTGATGCGATCCTGTTGGTAACACTGGCGCCTCTTGTTTGGGAGTGAGACTCCCTCAGTAGAGGTTGTGAATTAAGTACTAGGGATCTTCTGACTGATTGTGGCAGCCTTGATGCTGATAAAACTTTGGGGAGTGCTGGGCCCATTATGCTGGCCTGGAAGAATCAGAAGAGTCCCAGGTGTTCCTTCAACTGTGCATGCTTCAGAAAACCATCTGACCCTGAAAATGCTGTTTCTCTCCCAGCACATTTGCAGGTCGGCCACACTGGCTGGATGGGGAGAGCTGTATGGACGCTCAGGCTACAACTATTTTTTCTCAGGTGAATGTTGAACAGCATCCTCTGATGTAGAATGAGAACCCAGTCATAGAGAATAGCTACCTGGGCTGGGCGCCTGGCTCACGCCTGTAATCCCAACACTTTGGGAGGCCAAGGAGGGCAGATCACAAGGTCAGGAGTTCAAGACCATCCTGGCTAACTAAAAAAATACAAAAATTAGCTGGGCGTGGTGGTGCACGCCTGTAGTCCCAGCTACTCGGGAGGCTGAGGCAGGAGAATCACTTGAACCTGGGAGTCGGAACTTGCAGTGAGCCGAGATCACGCCACTGCACTCCAGCCTGGGCGACAGAGTGAGACTCCATCCCAAAACAAAAGAATAGCCACCCATGGCCACAGTAGAATAGGTAGGGGGTCTCAGTGAGCTGGGTGGAGATCAGGGGCCTGCCTTTGATCAGGGACCAGGAGACAAATAGGAGTTCACCTTAGAGGTGAAGACTACCAGACATATAGGGGCATAGTGTTTCCTTAAGGGTAGAGCCATGTTGGCCCAGCCCACCCTTGGCACTACGGGGAAGGAGGCTGGTGAGGAGGCCCCTGTGTGGAGCCCTGGGTCACCAGCCTCAGTACTGACAGATAGGTTTCTCTGGCAGGGGGTGCAGATGATGCCTGGGCAGATGTGGAGGACGTCACGGAGGAGGACTGTGCTCTTCGGTCAGTGCTGAGTTGCTGTGGTCAGGGGCTTGTGTTGGGGACGGGGTGTCTGGCCAGAGATGGCCATGTTCATATTGTCCATGTGTATTTGTCACTGGTTCAGGTGAGTGGATTAGCTTCTTTCCCTTCTGTCTGCCAAGTCTGTGCCCCTGAAATAGGGCTGTTGAAGTCCACTGAGTGCACATCTGGATTCACAGAGAACATCTCACTCTTGGGGTTCCTGGTACTGCAGGCCTGAGATAGGGCCCAGACATCTATATTTGTTTAAAAGCCCCACAGAGTTGCCAGTTTGCAGCTGTGATGCTGACTACCAACGTGCCACATCTCACCCAGTACACCTGGTACTGAGGCACAGGGCAAGGGCTACAGTCCATAAGTAGGAGACATGAGGTCTAGCCTGGAAGGCACATTTGGAGACCAGATGTGTCACAGCTGCATGGTTGGTATGGAACAGGAGTTTGAATCCCTATAAAAGGAGGAAATGGGCTGGTTCACACTCTTCCTATCCCCTTTCCAAATGTTTTTAGAAAGCAATGCTACAGGTTATTTTAGAAAAGCTCCTTTGCATGGTCTGTACCACATGGAAAGTCTTTAACTGGTGTCAAGCATCTCTGGAATGCACACAAGCACCCTAGTTAAGATCAGCTTCCCAAATCATAGTTCAGTTCATGAAAGGGCATCTTGCTATGCTCAGGTTCTGCCTGTTAGCTCTGAAAGCAGCGGCTCTGGCTTGTGCTCAAGAATGTTTGGCTTTTCTCCCTAGATCAGGTGACCTCTGCCCAGCCAGGTCACCATCTTCAGCATATACTGTTCTTGGCAAGGAAACTACTGGGGACAACAAAGCAGTGTGGATTAAAAAAATAAAAAAGTAATGGTGACTGTTTATGCTTTCTACTTCTGCCTATATCTGCAGGGCTGATCAAAAGGCAGCACTGAGCATTAAAATTTTTATCTTTCTCTTTGCTTCATTGGCCTGCTAGGTAGAGGGAATTTACTTGCTAATATTTCATAGTCAGTTGATAAAATAGCTCTAAAAACTTTATCTCTACAAGAATTTCAGACTGTTACATTATGAGCAAGTCATGTGGCTAAAAATGGTCATAAATGGGGGAAAAGGAGGCGGCGGAAGGAGATCAATTCTAATGGAAATGGAAAGATTCTATCAGCCACCAGCCTGCTGCTTTTTAGAACCCTGAGATTATCTTGAGTCCTCTGGCTTAATGTCAAGCAATGCCAGAAAGTCCTTTTCCATTTCCACCTGCAAATTGCTCCTCTTTGAAATACATCCCAGAGATGGGGGTAATCTCTTAGAAAGTCACCTTTCCTGCAACCTCTCTGAAACCAGTTGTCCTGTTTGGCACCCATGCGTCCACCTAGCACACGCCCCAGCTTCTAGAGAAGTGTGACATCCATACTTCCCTGAATGAGTGCCCACTCCCTGGCTCCTCTGAGTGAACATGCTATGTAACTTCTTCCTCTGACTCTTTATTTCAGAAGTGGTGACACACATCTTTTTGATAAGGTCAGAGGCTATGACATCAAGCTGCTTCGATACCTGTCAGTCAAATACATCTGTGACCTGATGGTGGAGAACAAGAAGGTGAAGTTTGGCATGAAGTAAGTACAGGGGCCACAAAATGAGCAGAGGCAGTGTGTACAGATTTGTAGGGCTGGCATTAGTATGTAGCTGTCACTGCGTGCTGGCCTTCTTACAAAGGGCTTTCTGTACATTCTCTCACTGTATCTTCAGACAGCCCTACAAAACAGGTATCAGTGTCCCCCTTCTACAGATACTGAAGCACAGAGAGATGAAGTAGCTTGCTCAGGTTGTACGTTAGTGACTGTGGCAGCCATCAGTCTCTACCCGGTGCTCTGCTGCCACTTTCTCTTCCTTATCAAATCTTTTTTTTTTTCTGGCTCCAAGTTCTATGCCATGTGTGGCAGATTAGAATCTCTTAATTTTTTAAATTTATTTTTCATAGAGATGGAGTCTTTGTTGTCTCAGGGGGTCTCAAACATGTGGCCTTTAAGCAATTCTCCTGCCTCAGCCTCCCAGAGTGCTGGGATTACAAGTATGAGCCATTGTGCCTGGTCCTAAATTTCTTTTAAAATTGAACAAAAAAATCAGCATATATTCAAATTTTACTTCAGTGATTGCTGTCATATAAAAATAACACATATGAACCAAATTCAAATATAAGAAGTCAAAACTAAAAAATAGAGCCTGGGTTAGTGATGAGACTGTAGGAGCTTTTTCCAAAATTTTGTTTTTTAAATGATTTTTAAATGTTTTTAAATGATCCTAAAAGGTGATCTTAGAAAATAAGGCATACTGAGGCTAAAATTAGAGCTCACCTATCTGAGATCTGAATATTGCCTTATTCCTCCCTTCCTTTATCTGTCAGAGTCCCCAGTGTTTATTTTCAGATGCTGTTTGTTCACCCTGTTTAGAAGTGGGCTCAGTGACTATTAGAGAAGACAGGCGAGCAGGAAAAAGCTTTCCCATAGGATCATATTATTTGGCTCTCATCTCACTCCTGGGTCAGAGTGGCTACACTGTGTGCATTTTGGGGTCAGAGAAGGTAGAGTTCTTTTTTTGAGATGGAGCCTCACCCTCTCACTCCGGCTGGAGTTCAGTGGCACGATCTTGGCTCACTGTAACCTCTGCCTCCTAGGTTCAAGCAATTCTTCTGCTTCAGCTTCCAGAGTAGCTGGGATTACAGGAGCGCACCACCACACCCAGCTAATTTTTTATATTTTTGGTAGAGAGAGTGTTTAACCATGTTGTCCAGGCTGGTCTTGACGGGGTTTCTCCATGTTGGGAACTTGACCTCCAGCCACCGCACCCGGCCAAAGTTGTAGTTCTTAATTGTACAAAGTAGGCACTGCTGAAGGGAATTATTAACATTGAAGAATACTTTTTTAGCAGAAGCTTCATTTGTGATTATAACCCTTATTTGGGGAATGGTGTGTGTGTTGCGACACTGTAACACCTTGTGTCCTTGTCTTGTAGTGTAACCTCCTCTGAGAAGGTGGACAAAGCCCAGCGCTATGCCGACTTCACTCTCCTCTCCATCCCATATCCAGGTAGGGGGCTCTCTTCTAGTGGCGGGCATCCTAGGACTGGCGACCTAGGGGGCCATGAGCAAGCCCTCTCTACTTAGTTACACTGGAAGCTTTCCTGGAGGGTTTGCGTCAGGCAGCGTAGGACATTTTAGTTCCTAGTCACAGGCCACACTAAGCGTAGGATAGTGTCCTGGGGAAGGGGCTTTCCACTCAAGGGGTCGAGGGATTGAGCACTGTCACTGGTCCTAGCCACAGCCTTGAGTGAAGTACTTCACCCCTCCAAGCCTCAAGTTTTCTCAGGAACTTGAAACAATTTAGCTCAGTTTTGATTTATATGAAAGTGGTCTGTGCATGAAAATACCATTTAAGTGTAAAATAACATTATTAGTACTCTGTGTCAGCAACTATACTTGCTGCTCTAGCCTGAGTGGATGTCACGCTTTGGGTGCATGTCTTGAAGTGATTGAGTTATTTATGGAAATTGCCCCAGGCAAGGCTATTCTGGTGGTAGAAGAACACATAATTGCTATGTTCCCAGTAACTGGACAGTGGCCACACCATGTTGCAAAGCACATTGGTATCCACAAAGCTGCATTTGTCCCTGGCACATAAAAGTATGTGCAACCTGTGGCCAGGGCTATATTCTCTACAGTGGGTATTAAAGCTGTTAGTCTAGTTTGTAGCATTCAAGCTTTCTGGCAATACCTGCCTGTTCAGCAAGGGAGGGCAAGGAGCTCTAACATCAGTGCAAGATGTTGTCAGCAGACAACAGGGAGTAATATACTCTTTCTCCTTAAAACCTCTCTCCTGTTTCTCAGCACCAGCATCTGCCTTCAGTCTTGTGTTGGACCTTATCTCCTCAATCTTGGGGCCACATAGCCATGAGCAAGGGCAGGCAGGTTCATCTAGTGCCTTGTAGGAGGGGTGTCCTCATCATGTGCAAGATGGTGGTATCCAAACTCCAGCCCCTGGTAACCCGGCACCTCTGCAGGGGACTTCCCCTGCCTCCTGCAACCTCTCCTGAGTCTGTTCACTGTTCTCTGCTAGCATAGTGTTTGGTGCCACATAGAACTGGGCAGGAATCCCAGCCCTAGCACTGTGTCTCCTTGAACAAGTCCTGTAACCCTTCTGAGCATCAGTTTCCTCCTTAATAAAATGAAGATGGCCGGGCGTGGTGGCTCAAGCCTGTAATCCCAGCACTTTGGGAGGCTGAGGTGGGTGGATCACGAGGTCAGGAGATCGAGACCATCCTGGCTAACATGGTGAAACCCCGTCTCTACTAAAAATACAAAAAACTAGCCGGGCGTGGTGGCGGGCGCCTGTAGTCCCAGCTACTCGGAGGCTGAGGCAGGAGAATGGCGTGAACCTGGGAGGCGGAGCTTGCAGTGAGCCGAGATCGCGCCACTGCACTCCAGCCTGGGTGATACAGCGCGAGACTCCGTCTCAAAAAAAATAAAAATAAATAAAAAATAAAATAAAATGAAGATAATGGTGCTTATTTCAGAGTGAAGTGCCGGACCACTCCATAACAGGTGTCCTGTAAATAAGGCCCAATGATGAGTAGTTGGGAAAGCCTCAGGGAACCTCCTCTTCCCTAAAAGCAAGTTTGGGCTGATGCAGATGATGATGATGATAATGATGCTGGAGTGAGCTTGGCAGTATCAGATCCACACTGATGGGAGTATCCTACCTAAGGGGGTCCACACTGGAACCATTGGGTAACTCCATAGCTAGTTTTCAGACATAGTTTCCAGCTCCCAGGAGATGCTTCGGGGGTTCCACAGACTGAACTCTGCAGATTTGCACTGCCTGAGGAACCAGGCATTACTTCTTTTAAATTTAGGTTTCAAGTAGGACTTGGTTTGGAAAAAATAGTTTTGCTAGAAGTATAAATACCATTGCTCCAAAATAGTAGCGCAGTGTCCTTTCTGCTATAGTTTGGCAACTTGTTACAAGACTCCCAAAATGTTATCACCCTTTAACCCAGGTATTTTTCTAATAATTGGTCATTAGGCTGTAATTCAGCCACTTGGTGTTGAGGACGTTCTTCATGGTGTCTATTTGTAATAGCAAAACAAGAAATGTTTTCACTAATCAGAATAATGATTGAATGATGGAACATCCATCAGTAGAATGAAATATAGTATAGTCATAGAAGAATCGGAAATCGGCTGGGCACAGTGGCTCACGCCTTTAATCTCAGCACTTTGGGAGGCCTAGGCAGTAAGATTGCTTGAGCCCAGGAGTTCAAGACCAGCCTGGGAAACAGCGACACTCTGTCTCTACCAAAAAAAAGAAAAAGAAAAAAAATAGAAAATGCTTACACTTTTTGATACGGAAAACATCACAGAGCTTAAGATAAGCAGGATACAGAATCACATAGTATACTCTCAACTAAGTAAAGGAAAACGTGCTTACAAAGAAAGGCTTAAAAGGAAGTGTGCCAAAATGTTAAGATGCCTGAATGCTTTCCCCAAAACTTTTTTTGTTGTAAAAGGCACCAAAAACTGGGCGCAGTGGCTCACGCCTATAATCCCAGCACTTTGGGAGGCCAAGGCAGGCAGATCACCTGAGGTCGGGAGTTCAAGACCAGCCTGACAAACATGGAGAAACCCCATCTCTACTAAAAATACAAAATTAGCCGAGCGTGGTGGTGCATGCCCGTAATCCCAGCTACTCGGGAGGCTGGTGCATGCCTGTAATCCCAGCTACTCGGGAGGCTGAGGCAGGAGAATCACTTGAACCCGGGAGGTGGAGGTTGCAGTGAGCCGAGATTGTGCCATTGCACTCCAGTCTGGGCAACAAGAGCGAAACTCCATCTCAAAACAAAAATAAAAACAAAAACATAAAAAAGACATCAAAAGAGACCAAAATTTGTATGTACTGCATCTGACAGTGTATGTGTGTTAGGGAGGGTAATGAGGATCAATAAAAATAAAAAAGCTGGAGATGGGGTGAGACACCATTACACACCCAAATAAGGGGAACAGAAGAATCACTTTTTATTTGATAGACTTGTGTTCTTGTGTTTTTTTTTTAAAAAAAAACATATTTCTCTTACTTTATAATAAGAAAAAAAAAATAAAATTACTATTATCCAAACCAAGTCATGAGCTGCACTTTGATGCTGTTTGAGGAATCTCAGTTGAGCCCTATGATGACTTTGAGGCTCAAACAGGTACTCAGTAGTCTCAGTTCTAGCTGTGTCACTCTATCTTGGGCCCTTGGAAATGAGAAGTATTCTGGGATCATTTCTTTCAGCACACCAAAATAGATGGGCCCAAATTCTGCAGCACAAATCTAATCTGTTTCCTCCTTGAGTGAATGGCTCTTCTCATCCTGCTTTTGGTCCCTCTCCTCTTGCCTGACAGTGGTTCAGAAGCCTATTCAGGTAATGAGCATCAGGCACTGCCCTGAGTAGAGTCTGTTTTAATTCTGTTTCTCACAAAAACTGCTTCTGTATCATAGGTGGGTCTGAACTCAGCCTAAGGCTTGCAGTGTTGATTTGAGCAGCTAGAGTTGGGAAAACAGCACTTCACAAGAGCTCTGAGAGATAATTGGTGTCTCTTCTAAACCTGGGCTCATAACTCAGGGCCTCTGTCTGAGATCTGTAATTCTTCTTTCTCCCAGTGAGGCTCCCAAGAGTAGGCTAAAGTATAATGACTGAGGATTGTTTCCAGACTTCTTGAGGCCTGGGGATTAGAGTGCAGGGTGTGTATGGAATGAAAGACAATTCTGGAAAACGTGGACTGGGTCTCCAGGGAAGCTTTCCTATCTTCCCTGAGGTGGCCTCAGACAGGAACTTGGCCCAAGAATTGCTGCGACATTCCATGTGAATCCTTGCAGCTACTTCCCCTGAATTTGGATGATTGTTTTCTTGCCTCTGGGACCTCACCAGACTTGGAGGTGTGGCCAAAGCTACATGCTCTCTGAAGTTTGTGTAGAGGTCCTGATTGAGGTGCTGAGAATAACTGCAAGCTAGCCAAGTGCCTTCTCCCATGGTATTTCTTGAAGCCACCAGGAGCTCTTGGAGGACCAGATGCTCACTGTGCTATGGTCAGACTCAGCAGGGGCAGGCCACAGCCTGGGGGCACAACTCATTCTCTGTGACCAAGGCAGCCAACCCCAAGTGCAGAGCAAAGTAGTTGACGTCAAGCTGTGGGCTGGCACTGTGGGCTCTTGTTGCAGTGGCAGTGTGATGACAATGGTGTGCTGCCATTTGAGTGCCACTTGGATCAGTGCTGTGCTACGTGTTTTATATGTATTCTGTCATCCTTAAACAGCCATTTTACAAATGAGAAAATCAAGGCTTTGAGACATTAAACAACTTGTTCAGCGTTACAGTGTTAAGTAAAAAGCTGAGATTTTAAGCTGGGAATGTTGCCAAAGCCCTATTCTCTCCAGTGTTTCTCTCTCTATTCCTGAGGGCTTGTCCTGGTGGAGTTACTTATGATTTTTCCACCAAATAATATAGAAAAGTACCTCTTTGCTTTGTTGGGCATGGCAGTGTCTCTTGAACACCAGGTTTTAGGCACTGTCCATGGGCCTTTCCAGTATGTTAGGATGTTTAGTCTTCACTAAAAGCCTGCAAGGCTAACATTATTTGCCCCCATTTTAGAGATAAGGAAGAGTGATCCTCTGCAGCTAGGCTGCAGTGGCTCACGTTGTGAGTCATGCGTTTGTTTACTGGGATTGGCACTACAGAGACCTGTAGGACAAAGGGACTTGCAATATGGGGGAAGTGACTGATGACCACTGAGCATAGATGGAGAAAGTTACAAAGAGGCTGAGAGCACACGGTGCCTCGTGGAAAAGGCATGCAGCCAGGAAACCAGAGGGACTCTAGAGGCTCGCCTCTGGCTTTTGCCCACCCATGTCAGCCTTGGCCTCACTGGAGCCACTAGTTTGGAGAAGTGTGAGCTGGCGGCCCCCTCTCCACAGCACTCAGGGACCTGGGTCTGGCCAGAGCTATCTCAGAAGACTTTGGGCTGGGAAGGGAGGTATCATAACTCTGCCCTTCTTTTCCAGGCTGTGAATTTTTCAAGGAATATAAAGATCGGGATTACATGGCAGAAGGGCTCATATTTAACTGGAAGCAGGTATGAGCAATAACATACATCAAATTGGGTCTTATGTCTCTTTGTAAAGGAAGACCAAGGAGAACAGCGAGCAGTCTTTTGGGGGAAAGTAACTCCCTCTTTCCTTTCTCCCCTGATTGTTTCTTTCTTTCTCTCCCTCTTCTCCTTGTATATACATGTTAAATTTTCATCATTATACTTTCCTCTCCCCTTTATTTGTCTTTTGTTTAAGGGAATTTTTCAGAAACAAGATAGGAAAAGCCCTTCTTTCTGTACTCTCTGTGTGAAAGCTGGGGGCAGCATTCTTTGCCTTCCCCAGCCTGTAGGGGCAGGCCATGGAAAACCTGCTGGAAGCTGAACACATATTGATCTTGCATGTTTCAGCAACAAACATCAAATGTCCGACTGAAAACTCTACTCAGCTGTAATGATCTGGTCACATTGATTTTTAAGCTGTCACTCCCAGGTAGCACAGGTATCTGGCCCAGAGAAGGCAAGCGCTGCCGGTGGTAGTCACAGCCTCAGGACTGCAAGCTTCCCCATCACCTTAGCCTCCTCTGGTGGCCAACCCATATCTCACAGGAGTCTTTCTGTCCCCAGGACTACGTTGATGCCCCACTGAGCATCCCTGACTTCCTGACTCACTCTCTGAACATTGACTGGAGCCAGTATCAGGTGAGGGACCTGACTCAAGCATTGAGGGCAGGATAAGGGAGTGGGGACCAAGAAGACCCCTGACGTCTGCCCCACAAGGTCCTCATGTGTTTGCCTGATGGGCTGGTTTGTGCCCTCAGATGCCTTTGGCCCTCTGACCTCTCAGAAAGGAGGAATTGTGTGTCCGTTCAACTATCTCTTGATTTGCTCATGTCCCAGAAAATCAAAGCTTTCTGAACGTGACTCATTCAAAGATTTGCATCCACCAGGGAGTTCTGTTTCCAGAGGACCTCATAGAGTCTGCTATTCCAGATCTGGGCTTTAGTTTTACATTTTTCCTTTTAAACGTGTGTTCAGCCAGAGGAAGTACAGAGCTGCCTGACCTCATTTGATTATAGAAACGTTAAAATTACTTCCACCATGCTCTTCTCCGTCACTGCACACCATGGAAGGGGCCCCTAGTCTTACTGGAAACATTTCTCTACCCTTACTTAGCCCACACAGTGTGAAGGCTGCCAGTAGCTTTGCTTGTCACTTGGTTCAAACAGAACAAGTAGTTTTGTTTTTCTGCGACCTTTCCCATGTCCTGTGCCTCTGCCTGGCTGCCACCTCTCAGCTTCCTCTTGTCTGGCTGACATACTGCCCTTCAGGCTTTGGCTCAAGTGTCTGCTTCAGGAAGACTTCCCTGATCTGCCTCTTCCTTATCCCTGGCGAGTTGGATGCCTGCATCTATATTCCCATTAACCCCCTGGGCACATCCATCATGGAATTTTCCACTGAGCTGTAGTCACTGATTTAGAGATCTGCTTCCCTGAAATCCTGGAGGACAGGGACCCACAGTTTGTGTATCCCAGCACAGAAGCAGGCACAGAGCCTAAACTTGAAAGACTGAGCCAGTGAGCAACAGAAAACATTTTCCCTCCCTGCTAGTTTCCCCTGTCCCCAGGTCTAGACAGCTCCCACCTAGCCTTGAGATCTCTCTCTTTGAAAGGCTGACCTGGCTATGTTAAGCAACCCATCACCAATGTCAGTACTCTTGTTGTCCTGATAGCAGCAAAGTCCATCTTGTTTTCTCTGTATATATCCAGCCCCTAATCACAACGTTTATGCTCACAGCAACTGTTTGAGTGTATGAAGTAGGGTGATGTCAGGTCTCCCCTATGCAGGTGTTTGCAAGAGAGGGAGCACTGGGAAGGAAAGCAGGCCAGTTTATTATGGTCTGGAAGCCTGGAGAAGGAACAGGTTTGGGCTACCTGTGCTGTGGTCTCATGTCCCAGGCTATGTCTAGACAGATTGAGTAGATAAAAGAACCGGCAGGTTTCCTTCTTTATGTGCTGTATGCAGGGGTCAAGTAGACTCTGCCCCAAACCACCCTCTTTCTGGTCCCTTCCGGCACCATTTTTTCTCCTTATGCAGGTACAAACTGGATCTGATGAACTACTCAGCAAATGAGATGTGACAGTTCCAGGCACTGGTCCCGCCAAGGATGTTTACCTCTTTAGGAAGGGGTCCTGTGCATGTGAGGAGGTACTCTGCTTAGTAGATGCAGGCCCTAGATCTAGGTCCCCAGCTTGCCTGGCCCTTCCTGCAAGGCTCTGTGGCCTAGAACAAATGACCTCACTTCCCCTTGAAAGTGGTGTTGGCAGTACCTATTTCAGAGTTGTGCCAGGCTCAAATATGATCACTGCTTGAAAGGGACTCCTGAACTGAAATACCAGACAGATTGTAATGATAATTATGAAGAGGCTGCTAGCTGGCTAACTCAGGGAAGTGAACACTGATAAACTTCCAGGCGTGAAGGCAACAGGGCTGGAGTGTAGCAGTCAGGCTGATGCCTCCTAAGAGGCCACCTCTTCAGTGTTGCTCAACCTGTTTATCTCACTGGGGCTCCTAGCATCCTCTTCCTTTACTGGGTGTGGGCTCTGCCCTTTCTGCCGGCAAAGCCCTGGGGTGCTGGTACCCTGTTCCTTTTCACCATCTCCCTAGGTGATCTTATCCATCGTCCATGCCATGAGCCCACAGCCAGGCCTCTCTGATCCATACCTGCATCACCTTTCACACATTGTCCCTTCAGGTGGCCCCTCAGACTTAAGCTGTCCAGAGTAGAGTTGGCCATGGCCACTGTTTACCCAGATGCTGACACCTGAAACTTGAGTTCTTTGCTCCCACCACATCCATCACCAGCTCCCATTGGTTCTCTAGTCTCTGCCCCAGATGCAACTGCAATCCTTCTTGCCCTCATCTCCCGTGCAGTGCCTAGCTCAGGCCACCACTGTCTCAGTGCATCTCACAGCTGAGTATGGGGCCTCACTGAGGAGTAACTAGAAATGAAGTGCTCAGATAGCAACCACTGAAATGATAGAGCAGGGCCATCATTGTCACCCCTGCCTTAAAACCTACCACTGACTTCCCATTTTCCTCACAATACAATGTAAGAGCTTGTACATGGCCTACCCAGCTCCATGCAGTCTGGTCTTGCCTGTTCTTGTGACCAGCTGATCTTCCTGCAGCCCCACTGCCTCCCTTCAGCTCCTTAAGAAGGCATTCCATGGCCGGGCACGGTGGCTCACACCTGTAATCCCAGCACTTTGGGAGGCCAAGTCAGGCGGATCACGAGGTCAGGAGATCGAGATCATCCTGGCTAACACGGTGAAACCCCGTCTCCACTAAAAAATACAAAAAATTAGCCGGGTGTGGTGGTGGGCACCTGTAGTCCCAGCTATTCGGGAGGCTGAGGCAGGAGAATGGCATGAACCTGGGAAGTGGAGCTTGCAGTGAGCAGAGATCACGCCACTACACTCCAGCCTGGGTGACAGAGCGAGACTCCATCTCAAAAAAAAAAATGGCGACCCTCTCCAGGTTCACACATGCTGTTTTCTCTGCCAGAAACACATGTTTCCTTTCTCTGTTGCTTATGCTGTCTCATGTCATTACCTCTGAGAAGCCTTCCCTGATGTCCCTACAGATCAGGCTCGGCTCTCCAGTCACATGGTCGCACAGCATCCTAGAGGTCTCCTTTTAGTTGCACGCCTGCAGTGGTTAGCTTTGTCTCCCCTGTCCTGTGACTCCATGAGGGCTGAGGTCATATTCACCCTTGTGTGCCTGGTGCCAGGCCCTTCAGGAGGCATGCAGTGTGAGGCTCACTGAATGAATGAATGAATGGTAGGAGGAGTTGTGGCAGGACACATGTGTCTTGCTGCCCTCCATGTAACCGAATTGAATTCCATAGAGGTATGCCCTTTCTGTGTACTAAGACCCCTCTCTGGGGCTGCTGCCCCTCAGGCACTCAGCATTGCCCCACCTATGAACAGGCAGCAAGGAACATTCTGCAGTGACCTCCTAGTCCCTGAACACTAAGCCTTAGAGATGCCAAAGCAGCCTCTGCCCTCATGGAGATTAGAACAGGAAAATAGGCAACAACATAACCATCGTCTACAGCAGTGGTCACAGAAGCCCCAAAGAGAAGATAATTGGTCTGGGCCTTTGAAGGATGAATAGGAGTTTGCCAACTGGGAGAAAGAGTACTCTAGGCATAGAAACATAAGCAGAGGCATGGCATTCGACTCAGCTCCCAGAGACTTCTTCATGATGCACATAGGATGAGAGAGTCAGGCATGAGCCTAGTTGTTTTTTTTTGTTTTTTTTTTTTTTTAAAGCTTATCTCCTCAGTCCTCACTTTGAGCAGTCCCCTCAGACTTCTGCTGCTTACTCTGGTGTTATAGGAAGAGTAACTACAGTGTAGCATATGATTAAGAATGTGGACTTTGGAGTCTGGCAGGGCTTGATTTAGCCTTCAGCTCAGCCATGTGACCTTGGGCCTCTACCAGCCCAGCCCTCCCCAGCCCTGGGAACTTCCTGCCCCTCCCTGATGGTCAGCATCTCCTCCAGACAGCCATCATGTTGGCTGGCACTCCGCAGCTCTCTAGTCCTTAGCGGGGCCTGCCCTCCCCGGCTGCTGCAGTCATCCCCCAGCCCACTTGATGGTCACTGGGCTTGGTGCAGTGCAGCTCCTACCTCCCTCTCCTGCTTTTTCTTGCCCTGTGAGAATCACTGCTCCATCGGCAATGGTGTGTCTGACACGTTGAGCCAGATGAGTTGAGAGATCCCTTGTGCAGCTACTGATAATGACTTTATTAGCACAGCACTGCAGCGCCTGTCTCTGGAGCCACTAAAAGTGGGTCAGAACTCTCCAGGGGCGTGGGAGGGTCAGGTAAATGAGCCTGTTTTAAATTCCTGGGAAAGCCATTCCAATTACAGGTGCCGTGTTCCCCCTCCCCCTGGGAAGTGCTGTCTTGCTGGCATGCGTCCTCTCTGCACAGCCCCAGAACACTGCTAAGCAATTGTATCTTAAGAGAACAGAGGCTGCCCCAGCTAGGGAAGAGGGTGCCGCAAAACTGGGTCAGGCCCTTCCATGGAGTTCCAGATTCTGAGTGGGCTGTTTCTTAGAGGGTCTGGACTAGACCTTGCACTTGGGCTAGGACAGAGGTTCTCATCTTTAAGGACTTTTGCTTAATTTCCCATCTCCCACCTCATGAGCTTCCTTTTTAAAAAGACTTTCCTTGTTAGACTCCTTATTTATTGTTTATCAAAAGATAGTATGCAGTAAATAGCAATAAAAAGCAAATGAAGCATGTTTGAAGAGGTTGATGTTTTAGTTTCTATGATGTGATGGCAAATGAAGCAATGAATCTTTTTATGTGGCCATTTGGAGACATTGGCCACAGCCTCAGGGCTCTTCATTTACCTGTACTGAATTCCTGGACAGCCACACCAGGAGCCCAGCACTTAGAGGACCCTAATGTGGGCAGGGGGCTCTGGATCACCCTGGCCTCAGCATCCCTTTGTGTTCCTCACTCTCACATTGGGTCAGAACACACTGAGTAGGGGGTCCACAGGCTGAGGGGTGCAGGGAGAGGTGGTAGGAGCTGCTGGAGATGGAATATGAATGTCCCAGATTATCTGGGATTCAAAACCTGTGGTCTGTGATCAAGGGCCTTGTGTAGTTGCCCCAGAATAACTCTGGGCATTTTATTTTTTAAATACTTTAAATTCTAAATCTGAGTTAATGTCCATTCTCAGACCCCTTTTCTTCTCAATTTTCTCCAACAGTGTTGGGACCTGGTGCAACAAACACAAAACTACCTGAAGCTGCTGCTTTCCTTAGTTAACAGCGATGGTGAGTCTGTCTCCTCCAGATCCCTCGAGCCACTGCACCCTTGGGGAGTTCCCAGTTCATTCTGCCTCAACTGTATGTTTGTTGGAGTCGCACACCTAACTTTTGCACTGTGGGAGAGGGATTTGGGGAGTTCCTAGAATCCCAGAGGCTGGGTGGGATTTGTCCATTGGTGGCTTTATTCCATGTCCTCAAAATCCTGGAAAACAAAATTAAGAACTCTTTACCATCTCTGCCATGCACAGGGTATTTTCACACTGGCTCAGCATTGCTCATCAGCATTGTGTGTGTGGGGCCAGGATGGGCCTCTCATTCAGAAAGATGAGGCATGAGATGAGAGAATCAATCCTGGCTGCTCAGCGGATGCACACAGCCTGTAGAGGCCCTGTTCTCCAGAGTCCTCCACCCAGTTTGGCTGTTTTGATGGGATGAGCCTGGCTTGCTCAATGTCTCTAGAGCAGACGGACTCTAAATCCCTGGTAGCAATCAGGACTTCTGTAGGAGTTGCACTTGCTCAAACTAATGGAAATGCATTGGCTTATGGAACCAAGAAGGCCCAAGAACAGAGCCAGGTGAACACCATAAAGAATCTTTCTCTGTTTCTCAAAACCACTGTCTTGGCCTCATGGCTGGCAGCCATTCCAGACCTGTCTTCCGCCATCTTAGCTCCACCAGGGGAGACTGCCTCAGTCTCTGGAGTTCCAGTAAAAGTCTGAGCTCATGCTCATTGGCCCAGTTTGAGTTAAGTGCCCATCCTTGAACTAGTCACTGGAGGGAGAGTTGCCACAAAGTCACATGCCAGCCCTTGGAGCCAGGCACTGGTTCTCTAGCTGGGGGCAGTACCTACCCCTCAAAGCACTTCTGGAAATGTGTGTCTGGCATATTGGGTGCTGTAGAAACTAGAGGATGGGGAAGGTAGTACTAGCATGTGGTTGGAGTTGGCCAGGGATAGTCATTGTCCTGCAACTCATGCAGCCCTGCACACTGCCCACTCCCCGCCCCCAAAAAAATACTTGTAGTGCCCTCTGAGAAACTGGGTAGGGATGTCAGCCCTGCCTAAATGACCTGCGCAAAGTGGACTGTGCAGGCTGCACTGTGTCCCCAGAAGTACACTGAGAACTATAGCCAGAAAGGAAGAAAGGAGGCTACAAAGCCAGATGCCTGCCACTCACCCCGTTCTAGGACTAGGCTGGAGAAGAGCCGTGGGGAGGCCACTGGGGAAGACAGAAGCTGGTGGGGCCTGGCTCTCTCCACCAGGCCAGGGTGGTGGTACTTCCCTGCTCATCGGCCCATGTCTGATTCTCTCCTGGGCATCCTCTCCTGTGGTTCCTGAGTAGATGACAGCGGGCTGCTGGTACACTGTATCTCAGGCTGGGATCGGACCCCCCTCTTCATCTCCCTCCTGCGCCTTTCCTTATGGGCTGTGAGTATGAGTGGGCCCCTACCACGCTCTGCTCTTTGGGTGTGTTAGGATTGTCTCCAGACAGGTTGAGGCAGGGGATGCCATTGCTCAGAGCAGATGTGTTTAACCCTGTCCTTCAGGGTGTTCGTCAGCTTGCGTTGTCACTGGGTCTGGTTATGGTTTAGCTCCTGGGGACAAGAAGAGGGCTCTGTCACATCTCCTGTGGTCTCTTCCAGGATGGGCTCATCCACACGTCCCTGAAGCCCGCTGAGATCCTCTACCTCACTGTGGCCTATGACTGGTTCCTCTTTGGGTAAGCCTTTGCAGGAGTCGGGTTTTGGGGCCTTGGTAACAGTTTCTGTATGTGAGTTGTGTGGTGGCTCCCTTGACAGGGGTTGGAGGTAAGGATAATTCTACCCCTTGAGAAGGACCAAAGCTGCTGATCAGGCCCCATCTGCCATGCTGGTGCCAGTGACACAGTCTGTGTCTGGTGACCCTGTCCTCTTGGCCTTGTCATCTTGGTGCTGCTGACTTTGCCTCTCCGCCCTCTTTTTTTCAGGCACATGTTGGTAGATCGGCTCAGCAAAGGGGAGGAGGTGAGTGCAACCTATCATTTGTGGGCGCAGCTCAACACTGAAGGAGGGGCAGGGGGTGGCCTGTCTGAGTTCCATGTTTTAGGGACAGCTCCTTGCCCCAGGTATGCAGGGATGTGGCCCCCTGTCCTGTCCTCCTGAGGCAGCATGGCAGGACAAGCACCCACACAGTAGCTGTCTGTTCTGGGCCTCGTGGGCCTGTGCCGTGGAGATAATACAAGCCCACACGTCGGGGTGAGCAGTTACAAAGCTGCTTGGCTGCCTGTGATCTTTCCTCTCACAGGCCATTCGTTTTCTCTGCTCAGTTCTCGAACCATCTTACAAGTCTTTTCTGTGCCCCTCGTCTCTGCAGCTAAAATGCAGCAGCACTTCTCTTCCTCACCCTCCCATCACACCCTTCAGCCACTTTTCAATGTCAGGGCGCCCGGCAGCAGGGTCCTGCCCCTGATGGTTGCCTCCAGGTCCCCTCTCCTCTGGACCTGCTCTTCCTTCCTCTTCCCATGTGCTCAGTACTCTCTACCCCATGCCCGTCGCCACCTCTGCACCCCCATCCTGTCAGCCACTCTCCACAGGCCTTACCTGTTAGTGCCTGTTTTCATCACATGCAGGTCTGGAGTCGGCCCTGAGTGTGTTCCCTAGTTGGCCCCCTTACTCCCTGGGTGACCTTGGGTGATGTGCTTCACCTTGAGTCTGCTGGTGTCAAGCGTGCTGCCTCACTAGGAGAATGAGTCCAGAAGCCCAGCACGGAAGCTGTCCCACAGTGCCAGCTCCTTCTCTTTGGCCCCCACTCCCCCATTTTCCCAAAGTGTGTTTCTCATCTTTCTCACCCTCGTGAGGCTGCTTCCTTCCTGGGCATCTTATCTCGCGCCTCCTCCTTTTGTTCCTCCGTCTCAGCTGCTCCTCTCCCCTTCCAAATCTCTTCTTCTGAACACTTACCGCGTCTGCCAGGGCTGTAGAGCTCTAAGCCTATTCCTCAGAGGCCCCCATGAACTTCCTCAGAGGCGGTGACTTTGGCATTGAAATCAGTGCTTAAAGAAGCCTCTTTGTAGCCTCTCATTCTGGGACTTGCCCGGAGCTCCGGGACATTCTACCCTCCCTGTAATCTCCCTACCCCCACAAAGCAGACCAGATCTGCCTGCAGAGGGTGGGGCTGAGCCAAGTAGTGTCTGAGTTTGAGCCCTTGGCATCTCTCCATGTAGACAAGAGGCTCTCCTCAACTGCAGCGTTCGTCTTCAGGACCTTTCGTTTACCACCCCCGAGACAATCCAGACACTGATGTGTCCAAAGCAAAAACCCCAGGCCTATTAGTTAAACATGATTGTGTCATCTCCCCACCTCACCTTGGAGGTTCGAGGAACATATTAGCATATTAAAGACTACAAAGTCTGCAGTGAAAACACCTGTTTAATCTTATGTAACACAATATTTTCATACTGACCCGACCTGGGCAACCCTCTCCTTGTGTGGGGAAGCTCCTTGCCTGGGCACACAGAGAGAAGAAACTGACAGGGCTCGTGGGATGCCAAGTGGGGATTTCTCTGAGGGAGGGGCTCATGGGCCAGGCCTTTGGGAATCACCACAGAAACAGAAGCCTGGTGTGTGCTTCCTGGAGGCCCCTAGGCTAGGCACTGGCTGAAAGGAAGAAGATAGTTGCTCATGGAGGTGGGGATATGGGTGGGGTCAGGAGCCTCCTGCCTGTGCCCATCTCAGGCTTAAGACCTGACCCTCACAGCTTCTCAGCAAGGGAGGCTCTAGACCAGACAGTGGCTGCCCACACCTCTAGGCTGCCCACACCTCTAGTTCTGAACCAGTATTTTTGGGTGCCTCTCCTAAAAAATGTGATTCCTTTGCCTTCCATTATGTTCCTGCTTTGTTCATTATTCTCCCTGTGCCCAAGTCATCTCTCCCGCAGCTGTCCTTCCCTATTAGCGTCTCTCCCTGGGAATCTTAGAAGAGTGGAGAGGGTACCATTTCAATTTATCCTTTTTAACCACTTGAGAACACACATGTTGAATTTGACGATAGTTTGAAAAATCAGTGGCCTGACTGGGTGTGGTGGCTCACGCCTGTAATCCCAGCACTTTGGGAGGCCAAGGTGGGCGGATCACGAGGTCAGAAGATCGAGACCATCCTGGCTAACACGGTGAAACCGTGTCACTACTAAAAATACAAAAAATTAGCCAGGTGTGGTGGTGGGTGCCTGTAGTCGCAGCTACTCGGGAGGCTGAGGTAGGAGAATGGCGGGAACCCGGGAGGCGGAGCTTGCAGTGAGCCGAGATTGTGCCACTGTACTCCAGCCTGGGTGACAGAGCAAGACTCCGTCTCAAAAAACAAACAACAACAAAAATTGCTGGCTTAACCCTGGCAGTCCCAGGAAGGAAATCCCTTCCTGCCTTCCCCCGGTCCAAGTGCATCTGCCAGGCCCTGCCAAGGCCTCTGTACCACCCACACCATTTATGGACCAGAACACCCACAGAGTCCCACAGCAGGGCCACTGTCCAGCAGGGGCCTTGACCTGAGTGGCTGGCTGCCCTCTCCTGGGAGTTCTGCCGCCTCGGTTCTTCTCATTGTGCATTGCTCTTTGGTCTCTCCTTTAGATTTTCTTCTTCTGCTTCAATTTTTTGAAGCATATTACCTCCGAGGAGTTCTCTGCTCTGAAGACCCAGAGGTAAGTGGAGGCCTGCACGTGTCATGCTGGGCCAGGGCACTCTGAGAAGGGCTGCTCCCTGGCAGGCAGAGGCTGGCCACCTCATTCCCGCCCTGCCTCCCTGCTTGTTGGGCTGGTGCTCCCTCCTGCGTTCGCTCTGAGGGCAGGGTAGCGGTCCCTGCTGAAGGCCACTGGTGAAGAGGCTCTTCTGCAGGGAAGGCCATGTTGGGGTCAACTTGGAGTCACACTAGCAGACAGGCTTTGGGACAGATGAGTGGTCTCTGATGGCCAAGAGAACAGGTGCGTTGCTGCAGGGAGAAGGCAGCCCAGGAGTAGGAGGACTCTCAACTCCCAGTGCACTCAAGCTGACTCTTGCCCTCCATGGCCTATAGCAGAAAGTGTGGCTGAACACTGCAGCCCCCTACAAAGGGGCAGAAGGCTGCTTCCAGCCTGGGAAATGCAAGCGTCTTGGCTGGCAACTGCCTTAGGACCCCTGTGAGAGTTGGGGTCTTGCCTGAGTTGGTTTGCCTTCCTAATCCGAGCTACAAGCATGTTGGGCCAGATTTGAACGCGAACACTCAGGGCACAAGCTGATGAGGAGGATGCAGACCTTGCTGGCCTCAGAAATCTGCACCTGTGTGTTGGACAGAGCCTTGCAGCATGTGTCCCAGCAGTGGGCCTGGTGTTTTATAACACTCCCTAGGCTAGGACCCATCTCCATGAGTTGCTAGTGAGTTGAGCTGCTTTCCAGAGCAGGCAAGGTTAGGAACGGGAGACAATAAAACCCCAGATAGATCTGGAATTTACTGCTCCAGCTTCTGTTTCTAGGAGGAAGAGTTTGCCAGCCCGGGATGGAGGCTTCACCCTGGAAGACATCTGCATGCTGAGTGAGTCCTGGGCCCCAACAGACTTCCCTTCCTCCATGCATCTTCCCAAGTACAGATCAGGCAGGAACTGTTCGTCCTAGGAGTTTTTTTTTTTTTTCCCCCAGTTATGTGGTATAGAAAAGGTGAGGGACCAGTAGTGGGAGAAGGTAACATGCTGACTGATGGCACTGGCTACTTTTAGGACGAAAGGACCGTGGCAGCACCACCAGCCTTGGCAGCGACTTCTCCCTGGTCATGGAGAATTCCCCAGGAGCCACTGGGAGCTTCACCTATGAGGCCGTGGAGTTGGTCCCAGCAGGAGCGCCGACTCAGGCAGCTTGGTAAGGGGCCAGACTGGGACCAAGGTCACTCACAGCTGTGGCCCAGGGCCATCAGCACCAGGGAGTCAGGCTGGAGCCCCGAGAACAAAGGGGGCCCCCAACAGAAGAGCTGAGAAGATAGCTCCGTGCTCCTGCTGTCTCTACTGGGCCTCGGAAGCCAGCCATCTGGTTGGTGAAGGGCACTGCCTGTGGTGGCCCAGGAGCATAAAGGGCTAGGGCTCCCTGTGGGACAGAGAAGTGGCTGAGCAGGGTAGGGCAGGGGGGTGCTGGGAGGCTGGTATTAGAGGAGCTCCATTGTATCATTTGTTGGGGAGATAGGGGGCCATTTTGGAAAAAGAAAACCAAAAAGGTGGGTATAAGATGATAGGGAATTGGGAACTTGTTTGAAGGTCAGCTCCTTTGAGAATTTCATGAAATTGAGACCCTGATGACTTTCACCATAGACATATGGCTCAAGATGTTGTATAGCACAGTCCTGAATGGTGGCTCATATTTATAATCCCAGCACTTTGGGAGGCCAAGGCAGGAGGATCACTTGAGCCCAGGAGTTCGAGATCAGTCTGGGCAGCATAATAAGACCCTGTCTCTTAGGGGGAAAAAAAGAAGGAAAAAAAAAGATTTTGCATAACATATGGAGGTGGGCAGTGACTGAACAGTGAGGAGTCATTTTCTAGCACATACTTCGAGGCCAGTAGGCTGGTGTGATTTGGATGCCATAGACCCTCCATAAAGACCCAGCCCTGCTACCCATGGCCCTGAGCTGGAGAGAGTGCTAATGTTTGCCCACTCCTATGTGACGTTTTCCCAGTGGAAGTAAAGCCTGGGCCTGAAATTCAGTGAGGGTGGGCAGAGGGCTTTGCCTGCAGTGGCCCCTGGCTCACAGCCCTGCTCCTTCCACTGCAGGAGGAAGAGCCACTCATCCTCTCCACAGAGTGTCCTCTGGAACCGGCCACAACCCTCAGAGGACCGCTTGCCTTCCCACCAGGGGCTGGTGGAAGCCAGGTCTTCCAGCTCCTCATCCTCAAACCATTCTGATAACTTTTTCAGGATGGGTAGCAGTCCCCTGGAGGTCCCCAAACCCAGGTGAGGAGCTCCAAAGCCCTTGCTGTTGGAAGTGGCTAGCTTTCCCCCTTAATAAGACTGGAGGGTCGGGGGCCCAGCACCTGAGCTAGGGTCTCAAGATGGGGTTTCTAAGCTTGCAGGCCCAGTATTTGGAGGATGGGTTAGTGTTTGGTAATAAAGCAAGGGCTGATTTGTAGAGTGGTTTGAGACTCCTTCCTCGAACCCTAGCAGAATGCAGGGGAACCCAGAAGTGCTGTGGCTGTGATGTGATGGTGGGGAATAGGGACTGCCTCCACTTGTTACCTTTGGCAGATCCCAGCCCCCTAGGCGCACCTCCCATTGTGATTGAAGAGATGGATCTAGATTCTGAGTCCCTTCTGGCTCTCACATCTCAAGTCTGAATTGGTGGAGCAGTGAGAACAGATGTTAGGGAGCTGAGCTACATGTGTGTGGCTGGGACAAACGGTGGTGACTGCACACCTGGAAAGGGAGCAGCTCAGCCAGGATGGCCGTGCCAGGGCTGTGGCTGAAGGGTGCTGCAGGAATGGTGCTTTCTGGGTGAGTTTAGAGCTGAGCACGGGCCAGAGGCTAGGACTGAGGACTGGTCTGGCACTTCGGAAAAGCATTTCCTACCACTTTTTCCACTTCATACTCCCGTCGAAAGAATCCTGTAAATTGCTTTGTTTTCTAAAGCTTTGAGAATGTCTCGCCTTTCTGGAGCGAATAAAGCAGTGTGGGACTTCAGGCCCTTAGTGAATTCCAGGGAGAAAGGGGCATTTAGAAGAATGGGCATGAGCTTTGGAGTCCATCCCAGATTCAAGTCAAGCTCTGCCACATCACATCCATGTGATTTTCAGACTCAGTTTCGTCCTTGGTAGTAATAGGTCTGTTAAGAAGAAAAACATTCTGAAACTTCTGGAACCCTCCTACCATCACCCCTCTATGATTTTTCCCTCTGGGCAAAAACAGGCAATGAAGGAATATGGGGAAGAACATCCTCTGCACGTAGGCAGAGCAGATAAGCGGGAGTGGGTGTTCCAGACTGCACTGCCCACAGGGGCCCTGTGTGCTCACTCCTGAGTGAGCTCTTCAGCTCAGAACACTGCCTGAGTGCTGGAGCTGAGTCTGTGAAACCACGGCCACACGCTGTCTGGCCCCATAGGAGGTGTCTTGGAAGTGGTGGGGCAGAGACGGGGCCAGACAGACAAGCCCATGTGCTGGTGCCCCGTCCCATCCTCTGTGTGCATGCCTGCTGCCGCATCACCCTTGTCTGCACCCAGCTGTCTTCAGGGCCACTCTGGGGCTGCAGTGGCACTGTGTGACCCTCACTGTTCCAGGCTGTGGCTTTAGGTCATGGTCCCTGCGTCCTTTTCTGCCTGTGCAGCATTGCTGAACTACTAGGGAGGAAACCAGAAGATTCCTCTTGTCCTCTGGGTCCTGCCTCAGTCTTAACTGCCCAGACTGCAGTGAGCTTCCAAGTTGAGGCAGCACCCCATCACCCATTACCACACCCTAGCTCGCCATCTCCTGCCTGCCAAAAAATAGCACTTTGCAATCTTGTGATAGTGTCCCTCAGTCTCACAGGTGACTTTCTGCTTGCAGGACGTGGCTCAGGCTCTTGTGACCAGTCAGGATGGCCACCAAGGCCCTCTCTTGGGAGGCTGAGGAGGATAAAGGTTGTCCTCCTGACCTCAGAGCCCTGCACACTGGGACTTGGCCAAACTTGGGATAGCTGGACCAAGATGGGTGGAAGGCTTTGAAAGGCGTGGGGTGGGCGACTGTGAGGTGTTTGATCCTTCTGCTGGTCTGTTTGAGGGAGGCCTGTCTGGAGCCAGGCTTCTTCTGACTTGGATGCCTATTGGTCAGAGGTTTTGAAAGTCTAGATTATACAGATTTGGAGCCTTCTAATTATATATTTTCATTACCATTAAAATTAATTTAGTCTCTTAAAGTGCCTAAGGGATTAGCTTCCCTGCCTCTTAGGTAACAATAGCCAGGTCTTTAATGTGTTAGGAGAAGCTGTATGGAAAGAAACCTTTTAGTGAAGCTGTCTGTGACAACCAAAATTCTTCTCATGTGAATTCTTTGGGTTTTTATATGCTCCAAATTCTACAGGCATCTCTCTTTTAAAGCAGGATTCCACCATGGAATGAATCTGTGAAGCTTTGTTCAAAGTTAAGTAGTAGGTATGAATCAGGTTGGGAAGAAAGTTCTGTGGGGTGCCAATTCTTACTAACCCCCAGCCCATACCCCTTATTGGCAAGCCTGGTGGTTTTTAATCATTGTTAGCTGTTGCTGCAGCAGCTTCTGATTAAGCTGCATTTCTGGACCATTGTTAAATCTCTCCATCAGTGACAGGGTTGAGGGCTGAGACGGGCCAGGACCAATGCTCTGAGCTCACATGCCTCCCCCACCTCTGGTTAGCAGGTCGCTCTACCTTGCATGGCCTTGGCCTCTGCTCTGGAGTCACACATCCTTTAGGAGTAGGGGGGTTGCTAGCACAGCATTATCCATGCCCAAGGAGGGATGGTGCCACCACTGAGCCCAGCTTGAAGCCAGGCTACCTGAAGAGCAGATGAAGTTTGCTGGGGGATGCCCAGCAGCCTGGTTGAATAGCTGAGTAGCAACACAGGGACCAACCTCTGCTTCCCGGTTAGCTACTCTTCCCCCAACCTCCACCACCTGCTAACTACTCTTGAGCAACTAGCTCTGTCCTAGGCTGTCTGCTTGTGGGTGGGAGCAGGGTAAGTTTAGATTAGGTGACAGCCAGGTCCCCTCAGAACCCAGGATTCTATATCTTAGTTCAAGTACTAACTGTGTGTGACTTCATGACATATCACTTGATGACTTTCGGTTTCCATTTTCTTATCTGTGTAATCAGAGGCTTAGGTAATTCCAAGGTCCTTCCTAGCTGTACACCTTCAAACCTTCTGTATCAGCCTTGTCAGATGTTTTCAAATGCAAGTAACAGAAAACACATCTCACTGACTGAAACAGTAAAGGAAACACATTTACAGTCAGCCCTCCATATCTGCAGGTTCCACATCCATGATCAGCCAACCAGATTGAAAACATTCAAGATAACATAAACAATAGAAAGTAATACAATGAACATGCAGTATAACAACCGCGTACAGAGTATTGACATTGTATCAGATAATCTAGAGATGATTTAAAGCATATGGGAGGATATGCATAGGTTATATGCAAATACAAGTGACCTTGAACAATGCAGGGATTAGGACTGTCCCTCACCCCATTCAGTTGAAATCTGTATATAACTCTGACTCCTCAAAAACTACAGATAGCCTGCTGTTGACTAGAAGCCTTACCAATAACAAAGTCAGTTAACACATATTTTGTGTGTTATCTCTATTATATACTGTATTCTTAGGTAAGCTAGAGGAAAATAAAATGTTAAGAAAATCATAAGGAAGAGAAACTGTATTTCCTGTGTGTTCAGTAGAAGTGGATCATAAGGGTCTTCTTGCTGAGGAGGCTGAGGAGAAAGTGGAGGGAGGGGTTGTCTTGCTGTGTAGGGCAGCAGAGGCAGGAGATAATCTGCATATGAGTGGACCCATGCAGTTCATGTGTGTTGTTCAAGGATCAGCTGTGCTACTACATTTTATGTAAGGGATTTGAGCATCCAAGGACTTTGGTATTGGTGGGGTGGTAAGTGGGTGGTGATCCTAGAACCAATCCCCTGTGATAAAAAGGAATAACAAGGAACAACTGTATATAGAAAAGCCTAGTTGGAAAATCAGTCTTCCAGTGCAGCCTGATCAAGGTTCCAGCTCTATTTCCCTGTAGTTTGTTCCCATTGCCTCCTTCTGCATGTTAGCTTTGTTCTCTGGCCAGCTTCCCTAATGGTGGCAAAATGGTTGACAGCAGCTCCCAGGATGACATGCTGCTTCCTTTCTCACATCCAGGGGTCACATGAGAGCCTCTTTTTTTCAGTTATAGGTAGAAGCTGTGTGCTTTACTCCCATTGGAGGTTATGTGGTGGTCCATGAACCGATTTCTGAGGTGCCCACCCCTTATCAGGAAGAAAGATGAGTGTATTATTGCAAGGGCTTTGGTCAGACCTGGGTTTCAGTCGTAGCTTTGCAGTCCTAGCTGTCTGACTTGGAAAAATCACATCCCTTCTGAGCTCAGTTATTTTATCCTGTTTTTAAAGGGGGAAAAATGATTCAGGCCCCCGTAAGTTTGGGTTAAAATGAAATAATGTGTTGGACTTGATGGCTCATGCCTGTAATCCAGCACTTTGGGAGGCCAAGGTCAGATTATCGTTTGAACCCAGGAATTCAAGACTAAGCTGAGCACCATAGTGAAACCCTGCCAATACAAAAGATAGATTAGATAGATTGGATGGATGGCTAGACAGATGGATGGATTGGACTGGATTGGGATGGATTGGGATGGATTGGGATGGATGGAGTAAATACTCATAGTAGATACCTTTTTACCAATGCCCAGCAAACAGTAGCTGTGGTTAAGGATTTGGCCTTATCAGTCATTTGTCTGAGAGCCTGTAGGCCCTGTCATGGCACTAGGCAGCTGCATAAAAGGCCAGGCCCACATCCCGACCTGTGTGTTCTTGCCTGGGTTGAGCCAGCTCGGTTTGTGTGAGTATTCTTGTACCCGCTTCCAGAAAGGACTAGCTAAAAGACACCTGCTCTGAGTTGGCTGTCAGTAGGGCATCTGGGGAGGTGGGAGCCCGTAGCAACTACAGCTCTGGGTGCTATGAAGAGGGCCCTGAGCTGCATCCCACTAAGGAAGTGAAATGTTGCTGAGCTCCCACCCTCCTAGGCAGAGGTCCGAGCCGCTGGGATGTGGACAGGTGACCTCTGAAGCGTTGTCAGCTCCACCACCATCCAGTTTGAGGGTTGCTTGGTCCCATGTTCTCTCCAGTTGTGTAGTGGGAGAGCAGAGGGGGTGGAGATTGGACCCCTCTGTTTGCTGCTCAGGGCAAAAGGGTTTGGGCTCTTGTTGAAGCTGGTTAAGTTACCTGTGTTCTTAGACTGACTGGAAGGCTTTTCCTCTCTTCTCAGTATGTGGGCACAGGTCCTTACTCCCGGTGACATGACCCACTGTAGATGTACCCTGCAGCCAGCTAATCCATGGTGGTATTTGTGGACACTTTCCTGCTTAGCATGACCCTTTGCCCTCAACCCCAGGAGCTGAATGGACACTTTGTAGCCCTTCCTTTGACAAAGGCCTCGTGTAGGAAAACTCCTTTGTAGCCAGTGTGCTCACTCTTGAAAAATCCCAGAGTCTGCAGAAGATGGCTGCCTGCTGAGAGATGCTTCTGTCCCCTGGGATCACACACACTGCTGCTGTCTGTGCTGCCTAATCCATCCAACAGCTGCTCCAAATGCAGTTCTTGGCCGGTGTTACCTGCTGGGACATGGGGGAAGTAAAGGGAAGTGACTAGCCCAGGGGACCTGGAATCCTTGAGGGGAGCCAGTCAGTAACTCCCTCCCATTGGCCATGTTTCCCTTGCCAGTGTTACTCTTTGGCTCTGGGGGAGTGGTTTTGGGGCCTGAGAAACTTCCCCATGCTCCTGGCCCCAGCTGTGCCTCGTCCTAGTCAGCATCCCTTCCATTCCCTCAACATTCTGGTTTTTAGCTGTTGTTTTCCCACAAGCTACTAAAACTGGAAAAGATTCTACCCTGCAGCTTGAACAATAGATGAGATTTGTGGAGCTAGGATGCGCCTCAGGGTTGTGCCGGCTGAAGGCCTAGTGTGACCTGGAGGAGGCACAGGGCAGGCTGCTCCTGGGGAGCTGTCTCTTTGATTTACAGACTGCCTGAGCCCAAGTTTCTCCATCTAGAAACAAGGAAGCCCTGCTCTGTCGGGCCCTAGGGGCTTCTGTCAGGTGACAGACCATGTCCTGTTCTCATCCCTAATGCTGCCATCACGCACCTTCTAGAGTTTAGCAGGAATGATGAATGTGGTAAGTCTGTATGTTGTAGGGGGTTCCGATTTATGGCAGCCTTAACATAGAAAACCATCTGTTTTTCCTGGTCCCAAGGTGGTTCTGTTTCAGGACAAATGTGCAGTCATTCTTGGTTTTAAAAATCTCTTCTCAGCTGGGTGCAGTGGCTCATGCCTATAGTCCCAGCACTGGGAGGCCGAGGTGGGCAGATCACCAGAGATCAGGAGTTCAAGACCAGCCTGGCCAACATGGTGAAACCCCATCTCTACTAAAAATACACACACAAAAAAATTAGCTGGGCATGGTGGTGGGCGTCTGTATTCCCAGATACTTGGGGTTACAGTTGGGAGGCTGAGGCAGGAGAATTGCTTGAACCCAGGAGGCAGAGGTTGCAGTGAGCCTAGATCACGCCATTGCACTCCAGCCTGGGCAACAAGACTGGAAAAACAAAAACCTCTTCTCACACTCCCTAGCTGTGATACATGAGGCAACTATCTTCACCTGTCTTACAGATGGAGATGGTTAAGGATTGCCAGAGTTGCAGTGCCTGGCCAGCTGCACTCCAGTGGCAGCTGCTTGGGGATAAGACAGGCCCAGTGACCAGTTGGGCTGTCATCTCAGACTAGGAGCCCTTGACACCAGCCAGCTGGGGGAGCCACGGCCAGTGAATGTTTTTCTCCACTCCCAATCCCCGCTCTTCATTCCTGTTTCTGGGTCCCTACTTGAACACCTCCTGCTGTTTTTGGATGAAAGAATAAAGGGTCAAGCATCAAAGATGATGTCCCTCTGGGGACTGGGACCTGGGGTAGCAGGTGGAAGGGCCTTGTTTGATGTCTCCCTATCTCCTCCCTCACCGGCACTGGCTGGACTACTGCCCAGGACAGAAGAGAGGGGTTGGCTGAGTGGGGAGGAGGCGGAAGCAGTAGATTCCCAGCACAACTTTCTTCCTCCCACCCCCCAAACCTCCATCTGAAGAAGGCCTGATGAAGCTGTCAGGCTGCCTGCCTGATTCATCCCTTCCCTCTGGGCATAACCACTGAGTCTGTTGGGCTGGGCTGATGCTTCTGAATACAAACTATGGCACTTGGAAGGCACTGCAGAGAAAGGGGGGACTTCAGGACTCCCATTCCATCACTCTTCAGTCTAGGTCATACCCTTCACAATCCCCAAGAGGCCTGTTCTGTCTCTTCTGATGGGACCCCTGGGTTCTGTGTTGCCCACCCTGCAAATCTGCATGCCAGGAAGCATGGGTGACCCGGCTGCTGGTACACCTTCATTTGGGTGCTAGCCTTGCTCCCTTCATTTGGTGCTGTTGAGATTGTCCTTGCCATGTTTGCTCCCAGCACAGGCAAGCCCTGGCCCCAGGCTGTGGCTCTGATTCACTCTTACTGCCATGCTTTGTTCTCGTTTTTTGCTTCCACAGTAAGTCTGCACAAAGTACTGTCCTCACAGCTGAGCTTACCTGGTGATCTGTTCTTTTTTGTCAGTCACTACTTGTCCAGCTTTTTTTTTTTAGACTTTTGGAGACGGTGATTGACAACAGAACCTAGCAGCCAGGGCTGTGCTAGCCCCCCAGTCCCCTCCAGAGCCTGTGTCAGGCATATGACTGACTGCATCCTCTCCCCTCTCTCTCCTCTCTGCCCCAGATCAGTGGACCATCCCCTGCCCGGATCCTCTCTCTCCACAGACTATGGCAGCTGGCAGATGGTAACGGGCTGTGGCAGTATTCAGGAGCGGGCTGTCCTGCACACAGACTCCTCTCTCCCTTTCAGCTTCCCGGATGAGCTCCCTAACAGTTGTCTGTAAGTGTCTTGCTTGAGAAGGCAGGATACTCCCCTGCCCATGTGAAAAGCTGGTGAGCAGTCAGGAGTGCTGGGTAGGAATGAGGCAGAGGCTGGCGCTTGGGAGCTGGCCTGGCCTCCTGCCCCTCCCCTCTCAGCTGCTGAACCTGAGGTATGAAGGAGGCCTGTGGCTGGTCAGGAAGTGCACTGGTTTGTGTGTTCACTCTGCAGCCTCTAAAAACCATCCACTGGTGTCTCAGGTGCACCCAGAGGGAAAGCTGCTGGACTGTAACTATAGAAGATTCTATTTCTGTATCAGCCTTTGCCTGACATGAGAATCGTTTGAAGGCAGAACAGTAGGATAGTGAAGGTAGGTGTATGGTGGAGGCCAGAGCCAGAGTGGTGCTGGGTTAGCCCAAAGCTGTGCTCCTGAGCAGAATCTAGGATGACTTGCCGTCTCTACCCGCCTTGTCTTCTGTTTTTGCCTCTGGGCAGGAATAAGAATTGGATGGGGATTCTAGATCCCACACCTACAAAACCCTGAGTTTCCAGCCCCTACAATGTGTCCACCTGACTGGAGCAGCTGCCTCTGGGGAAACCACCTGCCCCTGGCCTGTTCTGCCGCTTCATGGATGTCAGGCAGGAGAAAGCCTCCGGTGGCCGGGGGAGCAAGACCTGCTCCTCAGCTGTGGTGCCTGAGGGCCCCTCAGCAAGCCTTCCCTTCACCTCCATACCATGGGCTGGATGAATGGCACATGCTGGGGCCTCACCGCCAGCATCGCAATCCAGCTTATCCCCACCCATGTTGGTGGGTTGGAGGCAAGGTGCCTTGCGGAGTTGGGAAGGGAAAGGGGGCCCTAGATCCTAGCTGAGGGCAGTCAGGAGCCAGTCAGACCTTGAAATTCCAGGATGGCACAGGTCCTGGCCCTGCAGCTGTGAAGTCACCAAAGAGCTTCTGAGGTCACTGTGCCTGGCACAGCCTCCTCTGCGGCCAGCCCCTAGGCCAGAAACAAGATCTCTTCGATTTTTGAAGGTTAAAAATAAAAAAATTGCAGGCCGGGTGTGGTGGCTTATGCCTGTAATCCCAGCACTTTGGGAGGCCGAGGCGGGCAGATCACCTAAGGTCAGGAGTTCGAGACCAACCTGACCAACATGGAGAAACCCCGTCTCTACTAAAAATAAAAAATTAGCTGGGCGAGGTGGTGCATTCCTGTAATCCCAGCTACTCGAGAGGCTGAGGCAGGAGAATCGCTTGAACCCAGGAAGCGGAGGTTGTGGTGAGCCAAGATCGTGCCATTGCACTCCAGCCTGGGCAACAAGAGCGAACCTCTCAAAAAAAAAAAAAAATTTGCACCTTTCTGTAGAGACTTCCTACTCCAGCCCCGTTTGCCCAAAAGCCGTCTCTGAAGGAAGCACAGATATCCCTGCTTGATAGCACCCCTCACTTACCTGGGGTCAGCCACTGAAACTGGCAACTCCAGCCCCAGATCACCCACCCTAGAACCTACTAAATTTAGGCCCCAGGCAGCACTCCAGGCTCCTAGCCAACCCTTTAGTTCTGGGAGGTTCTCAGAGGAGGGCTGGATTCTGTATGATCTCAAGCCCTCCAAGATTGTGGGATGCGGTCAGAGTTGATTCCTGTGAAGCCGTGTAGCATGTGGGTGCAGCACTTGGGCTTTGGTATCAGAGAAACTTAAGTCCAAATCCTAGCTGCTCTATTCTCCAGCTGTATCTTCGAGTGGCAGCCTTGCCTTTTCTGAACCTGTTAGCTCATCTCTCAAGAAGGAGTGGCACTGTAGTACCTCCCTTGCCTGGTATGTGTCCTTAAATGGATCACATAGCCTCTCTTGTTTTCTCGTCTCTCAGGAGGTTGTGGTCTCTGTCCCTTCCATCTCTCAGAAATGGGCAGCCCAGCCGTGGCGTGGGCTGGGGGGAGGGGGCAGGGCAGTGAGAATGCTCATGTATGGATCTTTGGATGTTCCCTGTGAGTGTAAACTAATTGGTCTGTTTCTCCTTCGTATGCTGTAAGGAGAAGCTAAGGCAAGCATGCATGGCCTTTGGCCTGTGTGAAATTAGAAAGTAAAAAGATCTTGGGCCATGCTTCTCCCCCAGTTACCAGGAGAGACTTCAAGATTGTTCATGGTAGTGCAGGAATCCGGTCTCAGCTCCATGTTCTTAGTGCTGCTGCAGGAGCAATTTGACTTTTCTTTGCCCAGAGCCTACTGCTTCCATCTCTCACGTTTCACTCCCACAGATCTGCTTTCCCTTGAGTCCTGTCTATCTCCGCACTTACTTACCTCAGGGCTGTCATTTATCCTCAGACACCCCTCTGCTCCCACAAGCCCTGGGTACAAGTCATTGAGGCTTTGGGATTGGGTTCACTTCAGCTGCCTCTGACAGATTTCCAGGGAGGGACTGTCCAGGCATTGGTTTCTTGGGGGCGGATTTGGAGCAAGATTAGTAGGCATGGCTGGTCTTAGTATTTAGGTGTAAATACTTAGTATTTAGGTGAGGGCTCTTCTCATGTAGGTCTGTGACCCCTAGAGAGGGCCCTCCAGGGACCCATCGGGGGAACACCATGTGAGTACTTGACCTTTGAGTCGAGTCCATGGGCCTTTTCTATTAAAGGCCCTTGGGGGTGTCACACAGCCTCATGTGGAGTCACACTTTGATAAGCCCGAGTTGTGTGCACTTGTTTCCCTTCTTGACTTGTAATTTCAAGGTAAGGAAAGAAGAGGGGCTTTCATCTGTGATCAGAGCCTACAGAGGCCAAGAGAGGAATGGGGGATAGAATCAGAACACAGATCTTTCTGGAAAAGCAAGCACCCTTTCAGCTGTTTACCTGGGAACCACAGTGACGGAAAGTGTAGCTAAAGCCCTAGAGGTTTCCAGTGGGGAACCCTGCCCTCAACCCAGCAGACAGTGGGTTCTTCCAGGGCAATAGCTTCCTCCTAAGATGCATCATGTCTACGCCTCAAGGCTGAGGCCTTTTTCTTTCCTTTTTTTTTTTTTTTTTTTTTGAGACAGAGTCTCGCTCTGTTGCCCAGGCTGGAGTGCAGTGGCGCGATCTGGGCTCACTGCAAGCTCTGCCTCCTGGGTTTACGCCATTCTCCTGCCTCAGCCTCCCGAGTAGCTGGGACTACAGGCGCCCGCTGCCACACCTGGCTAATTTCTTTTGTATTGTAGTAGAGACGGGGTTTCACCGTGTTAGCCAGGATGGTCTCGATCTCCTGACCTCGTGATCCGCCCGTCTCGGCCTCCCAAAGTGCTGGGATTACAGGCTTGAGCCACCACGCCCAGCCTTTTTTTTTTTTTTTAAGACACAGTCTTACTCTGTTGCCCAGGCTGGAGTGCAGTGGTGCAATCTGGCTCACTGTAACCTCTGCCTCCGGGGATCAAGCAATTCTCCTGCCTTCAGCCTCCCAAATAGCTGGGATTACAGGCACATGCCACCATGCCTGGTTAATTTTTGTATTTTTAGTAGAGATGGTTTTGCCATGTTGGCCAGGCTGGTCTCGAACTCGACCTGCCTCGGCCTCCCAAAGTGCTGGGATTACAGGCGTAAGCCACCACACCCGGCCAAGGCTGAGGCCTTTCAACAGCTGTGGCCTGCTGCCAGATTTCAGGGGCCTCCTTACTGTTAGGTATAAAACTTCATGCCTCAGCTTGCCCTTCCCAAGGAGTGGAAGCAGAGAGCTGCTGGGGCAAATTCCCTCCTGCTTAGCTACCCTCCTTCCAAGTGATCGCAAAGAAAGTTATTTTCACAACAGGTCAGGTCAGGCCAGGCACAGTTGCTCACGCCTGTAATCCCAGCACTGTGGGAGGCCAAGGCAGGCAGATCAGTTGAATCCAGAAGTTTGAGACCAGCCTGGGCAACATGGTAAAACCCCATCATGGTGACATGTGCCTGTAGTCCCAGCTACTTGAGGGTCTGAGGCGGGAGGATGGCTTGAGCCCGGGAGGTTGAGGCTATAGTGAGCCCTGATTGTGCCACTGCACTCCAGCTTGGGCAATAGAGTGAGACCTTGTCTCAAGAAAAGAAAAAAAAAAAAAAAAGGTTAGTGTCCCAGTAAAAGCTCCTGTTCTAGGTGGGAACAGTAGCCTGAGGGCTTTGAGAAATGGTTTAAGGGAAAACAGGGCCAGATATCTGGGGCCTGAACCACAAGGATAGCATGGCCATAAGACAGACACTGGATTTGTCCAGTCAGAAGCACAAGGACAGGTGGTGTGGAGGGAGGATGCTGGGTCCTGTCCCAGGGTAATGTCTTTGTTCTTTCTCTTTCCCTCCCCATAGGCTTGCAGCCCTGAGTGATCGAGAGACTCGGCTGCAGGAGGTGCGCTCAGCCTTCTTGGCTGCGTACAGCAGCACGGTGGGGCTTCGGGCAGTAGCCCCCAGTCCCTCTGGTGCCATCGGGGGCCTGCTGGAGCAGTTTGCCCGTGGTGTCGGACTCCGGGGCATCAGCAGCAATGCCTTGTGAAGAAGCCAGCCCATGACAGTTTCCTGCTCCTCTCTCAGCTGAGCCCTTAGCAGAATCAAAGCCATGCCTGGCCAAAGGGGTACTTCCAGGTCAGGGGAAATTTCACTCCCCCATCTCCATCATGTACATGGCAGCCCCAAAGCTGAGCAAGGCCAAAGACAGGGTTTTCCAATCCCCAGCCTCTTGACTGGTGACCACCACCCCTTCTTGTCACTGTCTCCCACCCACCCCGTCTTTGCTGGGATTCCCATCAACTCTCAGAACTGTGTGGGGTTTCCCTGGGGCCTTGTGGAAGCCATGACTTCACAAAGACCCTACCTCTCAATTCTTGTTTCCTGGGGAGGAGGGATCACCTGCACTGAGAATGAGGCAGTTTGACACAGATCACAAAATAAAATCAAAGTCTTTTTAAACAGCCACTCGTGTCCTCATTTGGTTATTGTCTTTGTGGAGCTATTAGGAAGGTTATCATTGTCCTTTTTGCTGGACAAGGGGTGTTTAAGTGGAGGACAGGTGAAACAGGAAGAGAACTGGTGACAGGTGTACCTCTCCACTCGTGAGCCATGGTAGTCCTGCAGTGGGGACAATACTTAAGACTGTTGAGAGTAGTGGTTCTCGGGCCTAAGCAGGTCCTAGTCACCTAGGGAGCCTGATTAGCTCTGCACATTCCCAGGGCTGCCTGAGTTTTAGCCTTTGGGTTGCTAAGGAAGTTGCCTGGGAATTAGGAGCTGGAGATCTTTTTTTTTTTTTTTTGTTTTGAGATGGCGTCTCACTGTCGATCCACTGGAGTGCAGTGGGCACAATCTTGGCTTCACTGCAACCCCTGCCTCCCCCTGGGTTCAAGCGATCTCCTGCCTCAGCCTCCCGACGTAGCTGCGTGAACATGCCCACCTGTCCCCAGCTATTTCTTCTTTTTTTTTTTTCTTTTTTCGAGACGGAGTCCTCACTTTGTCACCCCAAGGCTGGAGTGCATGCTGGGATCTCAGTTCACTGCAAGCTCCTGCCTCCCGGTTTACACCATTCCCTCCTGCGCCTCACTCCGAGTAGCCTGGACTAACAGGCCGCCGCCACCGTGCCGCTAGTTTTTTGTATTTTTTAGTAGAGACGGGGTTTCACCATATTAGCCAGGATGGTCTCGATCTCCTGACCTCGTGATCCGCCCGTCTCGGCCTCCCAAAGTACTGGGATTACAGGCTTGAGCCACCGCGCCCGGCCCCCAGCTAATTTTTGTATTTTTAGTAGAGATGGGGTTTCACCATGTTGGCCAGGCCAGTCTCAAACTCCTGAGCTCAAGTGATCTGCCTGCTTCGGCCTCCTAAAGTGCTGGGATTACAGGCATGAGCCACCGCACCCGACCAGGATCTTCATCTTTAACAAGTTCTGTAGGCAGCATGGTCCTGGTACAAGTGACCTACAGCCCTTACCTTGAGGCCTGCCTATGGAGGAGGGACTGGCTTCTGAAGCTTTGGAGATAACAATTGGTGTGCATGTGGTGGGGGAGAGCCTGGCTGACCACCACTCTCTTCTACAGTGTGGCCTACAGTAGATTGCGTCATGAGAGTGTGTCCGCATCTGTAATGCCATGAAAGTTGTGAGGGTTTAAAGGCATGGGCAGACAGCTTTGCACGGTGCTTAACAGCCACCATTTACTGTCATCAGTGTGAATACCCAGAGGACAAATGAATGTTGAGCACTTGCTGTGTGCTAAGTGCTTTCCTTGGGTTATCTCAGTAAAATTTTACAGCACCTAAAGTAGCTGCTGTTAAGGGCCTTTCTAACGGTCTTTCATGGTCAAGCCACAGAGATGTTGAGTAACTTGTCCAAGGTCACACAGCTAATAAGAGAGGTACTTTTCCTATTCAGAGACCTAGGCAGGCTGGGAATGGGAAAGGGCAGAAACACTAAGGGAGTGACTCAGTAAGAGGCAACAATTCCAACGCCCACCAGTTGCCCCAAATGCTTCAGCATCATGGACAACTCTAGGGGGCTTGGGTTTCCACCCCAGAGAGTTGGCAGGGTGGACTCTACCAAGGTGTGGATTGGAGTTGGGGGTCGGGGTGAGGTTCCCCGCTGGCTCCAGGCTGCTCCAATGGGGCGGGGGCCGCCCGCAGGGCCGGGCGGGGCTGTACTGCCATCTGGAGCCGCTGCCGCCGGCGGCCACTGTCAGGGCACGAGCGGCGGGAGCGCACGCAGGGCTGGAGGGAGTGCAGCCGCCGCCGCCGCCGCCGCCGCCGCCGCAGCCGCCGCCACCGCCACCGCGGCACATGGGCCGGCCCCGCCGCTGCCGTCGCCCCTAGCCCCAGCAGCCCTGGTCTCGCAGCCTCCTGCGGCTCGGGTCGCCCGACCAGCCATGTCTCTCGGCGGAGCCTCCGAGCGCAGCGTCCCGGCCACCAAGATTGAAATTACCGTGTCCTGCCGGTGAGCGAGCCGTGCTGGGGAGGGCTTAGGCACTGGCACTGCCCCAGCCCCAGCCAGACACGGGGCTCAGCCCGGGCAGGGGCTAGACCCCCAGGGGAGAGGCGAAAATGGCTGGAAAATCACAACTGATGACAGGGGAGTTGCTGGTGGGATCGAGAAGGTGGGGGGGGGGTCTTCTTGGGCAGCCCCACCCTGAAAAAAGGGCTCAGCCTGCGGGTTCAGGGGGTGGGTCGCAGGTATCCGGTAGGAGCTCGGCCCCAAGAGGACAAAGTTCTGGGGCGAGCCCTCTTTCCTGGGCCCTTGGAGACAGTGTGGGTGCGTTCGCGTCCAGTCCGCAGAGCCACGGTTCCTGGACAGCGATTTCCGGTGCTGTCCAGAGTGCTGACAGCGCGGACCCCAGCTGGGGGTAGTCATGGGGGACAGAGGGAGGCCCCATACCTCCCCTCAGTGCCCGGCTCAGAGCTGACTCAAAGCGGGCGGGCTCCAGGATGATCCACTCTGTCTGTCTGTTGCTTTTCTCTAGGAACCTGCTAGACCTTGATACCTTCTCCAAGTCCGACCCCAGTAGGCGGCTCCAGGACCGGGAGGGGGAACTTGGGGTCTGGGCGCGACTCAGGGGCGGGTGGAGTCGGGGCCAGGGGTGCAAGCCGACCTCACGTCCTTCCCTCCCCGCCCCCACCTGCAGTGGTGGTGCTTTACACGCAGAGCCGGGCCAGCCAGGAGTGGCGGGAGGTGAGTCCCAGAGCCCCCTCCCCGCCCAGGGCGTCGCCCGGGAATCCCCTGGGCGTCTGCCCGTCCCACGCTGACCCTCCATCCCCCTACCCAGTTCGGACGGACCGAGGTGATCGATAACACGCTGAACCCAGACTTCGTGCGCAAATTCGTCCTCGACTATTTCTTTGAGGAAAAGCAAAATCTGCGCTTCGATGTGTGAGGCCCCGCCTGGAATTCTGGCTTGGCCCGCCCCCGACCTGGATCCGCCCGGAATTCTGGCTGGCCCCACCCCCGCCTCGCCTCCCGGCCTGGTTCTTCCCGCAGGCCTCCCTCCCATTCTGAATGGCCCCCTCTAGCCTGAGTCCTGCCCTTCTGTGAGATGCGGTCCAGTTCCGTACCCCGCTCTGGCCCCGCCCACAACTCTGCTCCAATCGCAGCTCCACCTCAGGCCCGACCCCTTCCAGACAACCCTGCCCCCAGCAGCCCCTGACTTAGCCTCGGCCCAGGCTTGACCCTTTTACTCCTCGGCCCACCCTGACTCCTCCCCCAAAGGAGACCAAAGCTGAATTCGGGTCCACAGCCACCCATCCCGCCACCCAAAATTTTCACCAAGACTCGGTGCCCGACCCCCTTCCACCCTCTCCCCCACCCAGCCCCACCCCACACCGGTTCCACTCTTTTCCTAGGTACAACGTGGACTCCAAAACCAACATCTCCAAACCGGTGAGCAAACGTTTACTCGAGGGTTGGCAGAGCGCAAAGGATGCACTTAGATGTGTTCAACGACTCTTGGAACTCCTCCTAACCCTCGACCCAGACCCCATCTTCTTCAGGCCCCCAACCCACCCTCCTGGTCCCTCTCCTCCTGCCTGAGTGTCCTGCCTGTGCCCCCTACTCACTGTTCCTCTTCCTTCTTGGCTGCCACTACTGGGAACTGCAGAAGGTGAGACTGAATGGGGCTGGGCAGAGGCTGGGGGTGGGGGTGGTGTTGTGGAGAACAAGCTTGGACTGATGACCCACTATGAGACAGAGATTGCTCGCAGACCCCTTCTTTCACACCCCCTCCAATAAAGCCCATGCAGGGTGGTGGCTCCTGCACCACTCACTCGCCTGGGAACTGCCCTGGTCCTCCTGTGCAGGAGCATCACTGGGGCTGAGCTCGGACTCAGCACTCAAGAGCTTCTGGTCTCGCTGACTCCTTGTCCTGCATAGGATTTCCTGGGACAAGCATTCCTGGCCCTGGGAGAGGTGATCGGAGGCCAGGGCAGCCGAGTAGAAAGAACCCTCACGTAAGTTGAATGGGAAGGGGTGTGGGAGTGGGGTGGGGGCTTCCAAATTCTCTGTCCCAAGGATACCACTGACTGATAGCAGTGGAGGCTGGGGTTGCCCCTGGTCAGGAGCCTGCACTGGCTCCCATCACCCTCGTAGAAAAGTCCAATTTCCAGTGCTCTGCCCGAATCACTCTCAGGCCTCATATGTCTTTTCCTTCTTTCTCTCTCTCTTCTCTCCTCTCTCTCTCTCCCCCCTCACTCTTTTTCTAAATCTGATTTAACCTTTAAGGTCCACTTCCAAGCCCCTCTCCACAGGGAAGCTCCCCCGGAATAAATCAAATCCTCAGGAATTTCCATTACATCCACTCACTAAATATGCATTAGCATGTTTTATATCCCACACCCTGGTCTAGGTACCAGGGCTTCATTCATTCCACAAACACTATGTATACATACCCTATGTCAGCCACTGGTAAAGG